GGTGCACCCGTAGCGCATACTGCAGGATACAGAAGTATAGTTTATTTTTTTAAAAAAAATCTAGAGGAAGTTATAGACCATTCTTATAAAAGCAATATGAAGGGGCTGGGGCTGTAACTCAGTAGTGGAGTGCTTGCCTCACATGTACAAGGCATTGGGTTTGATCCTCAGCACCACATAAAAGTAAATAAAATAAAGGTATTATGTCCATCTACAACTAAAAATATTTAAAAAAACAAAAAACAACCAGGATGCATTCAGTAGAAATGACACTTTTAGTTTTGAATCCAGATCTTTTTTCGGATTGTGTGTTGTAGTTAGCTTTTTTGCTGCCACTTTGGTTTTTATATTGAGGCTTCCCTTGTATACCAAGTGATCCTTGATTTTTGTTTATATATCCTCTACCCCACCACATGCACAGGGGATTGAACCCTGGGCACTTTATCACCGAGCTACATCCTCAGCTCCCCTCCTCCCCTTTTTTTTTAATTTTTAAATTTTGAGGCAGGATCTCATTACTAGATTTTTTAAATATATTTTTTAGTTGTAGATGAACACAATACCTTTATTTTATTTGTTTTTATATAGTGCTGAGGTTTGAACCAAGTGCCTCACACATCATAGGCAAGCACTCTACCACCTAGCCACAACTCCAGCCCCTCACTACTAGATTTTTTTATTCTCCTGCTTCAGCCTCCCAAGTAGTTGGGATTACAGAATTATGCCACCATGCCCTCTGGATGTTTGTCTATTAGAGAGAAGCACTAAAACAGCTTATTGAAATTTTTGCTATCTAATGGACTTGTCTGTGAGATAGGCTAATCAAATGTTTGCATTCCATATGTCAAATCAATAAATCTTATCAATGGTGTTAATTATCCAAGGGTAGACTCCCTTAGTTTCCTGACAACATTATAAAAACAGGAACAAGAAAAAGACTTTGGAGGTCAAAATTTATTACATAACTTTTCCTTTATTACTTACCATTGCCTAAACTCCTGCAGAGATTGTGCATTGTAGGAGTGGGTCACCTGTAAAATCTTTATTTTCTAGTGCATAAATAGTCTGTTGGGGGAAATGGAGCTGAGGAAGAATTGGGGTTCTGCTCCAAAATTAGGTTTTAATTCAGCAACTTAACTTTTTATCCTCACACATCACTCCTTTTCCCCCTCAAATATTTTTATTGTTGTAAAATACATATACAATAAAATTTACCACCATAACTATGGTTAAGTGTGCAGATAATTGTTTCATTAAATAGATTCATAATAGGATGAAACCATTACCTCTGTCCATCACCATCTTTTTTCTTACAATACTGACATTCTGTGCTCATTAAACAGTAACTCCCCCACTCCCCTAGGGTCTGACGACTACCATTCTAATTTCTCTCTTGGATTTTTACCCCGTACATATCTCATAGACTCATAAGAGTATTTGTCTTTTTATGACTGGCTTGTTTTATTTAATGTCTTCAAGGTTGATCTTTTATGGCATATGTCAGAATTCATTCCTTTTCAAGGTCCATTACCACATTTTTCTTGTCATTCATCTGTTGATAGATGCTTGTGACTATCAACTTCTAATGTGAATAATTCTACTGTGAATATAGGCATACAAATATGTCATTGAGACCCTATTCTCTGTTCCTTTGGTATGCCATCCTCCTGCCTCAGCTTCCCAGTCGCTTGGTGTATACCCATAAGTGAAATTGCTGGGTCATAAGGTAATTATATTTTCAGTTTTTTGAGGAGCCATCATACTGTTTTCCACAACAGTTCTTTTTTTAATATAAATTTATTATTAAAAAGTTTAATTCCCTTTTATGGTAGCTTATATTTCTAAGTCTTGATAGGAAGGCTAAATGCTATGCTACCAGTTTCTGCCTCTTTCTAGATACCTGTAGTTGCATCCTCTCTGTTGAATTAATGTACCTCCCTTACTTTAGATTACCCAAATATACATTTAAATTTCTGGGGGGTTTTTTGTTTGTTTTTTAGCAGGGAGGAGGTATTGAACCCAGGGGTACTCTACCACCAAGCTATATCCCCTGTTGTTTTGTTTTGTTTTTAAATAGCATCCAACTAAGTTGTCTAGGCTGACCTCAAACTTGCTATCCTCCTGACCCAGACTCCCGATTGGGTATTACTGGCATGTACCACCAAGTCCAGCTCCATTTAAATTTTTTGCTTTACGTGATCCTTTCCATTATTATTACTTTTTTTTTCATGGTTAAAGCTTCTGATTCATTTAGTGTCGTTTTACATGGATTTTAAGAGTAGAGGGCATCATAGATGCCTAAAGATAATCTGTTATATGTTTACCTAGAAGTTTTTGATGAACTGTCTTTGATCTAAAGGATTAGATCCTATAGTATAATATACTCTTACTCTAGATTTCTTCATAGTTTCATAGTTCTAATTGATAATTAGCCTGTGTTCGTGTGCCTTTCACTACAATATAAGCCTTATGTTTTGTTGATGTTTTTGCTCCACTAACCATACCTGCTTTTTTTCCCCCTCAGTACTCAGATCAAACCCTTGGTCTCCTGTGTGTTAGATAAGTGCTCTACCATTTAGCTACATCCCCAGCACTTCACATTTTATTTTGAGACAGCGTGTTGCTAAATTGCCTAGGCTGGCCCAGAACTTGCCATCCTCCTGCATCAGCTTCCCAGTCGCTTGGTGTGTGCTACCATGCCCTCCTCTGTTCATCCTCTTTTCTGTTACTGAACCATGTTTTTAGGACGAAGATTATTGGAAAAGTAAATTCTTCTGTAATAACTTCAAGGTAGAAAGATGTGACTAATATAAAATTTACTTGATAAATTAATAAGGTTACATGCAGAAAATGAATTAGATATTTTTAACTTAAATGTTTTGAGTGTTTTAATAAAGCAAGTGTATACTTTATCCAAGATGTATATCTGATAGATGAAGTGCATTGTATTTGCCTGAATTCTAATCCACTGTCAGAACAATAAGGGGATAAATAAGTTTGACCTTGAAAATGGATAACCAGAAGAAATTGGATAGATTATTTTGAAATTCATTCGTTACTTTTTTTTTTGGTCCTCCTCCTTTTTCTTCTGAGTGTAGGCCTCCTAGGTCTCCAGAGACGACCTTCTAAATTTGTGTCTCAGAAAGTTTTAAAATGTTTTTTGTTTTGTTTTGTTTTTGTGATAATGGAGATTAAACCCATACCTTGCACATTGCTGCCTAGCTATACTGCCAGCCCTTTTAAAAATTTTATTTTGAGATAGTCTGAGCACCTTGCCCAGGCTGGCCTTGAACATGAGATCCTCCTGCCTAGGCCTCTTATGTAGCTGAGTGCCGCCATAGTCAGCAAGTTATTTTAATATGGAAAAGTTGTTCTATAGTAGTGCTAATGGTGGTGACCCAATACTGAAGATAATCCTTTGTCCATTCACATTAGAAAAGGAAAATAAATTGTGTATGCTCAAACAGTGGAATACTTTATGAAAAGTTAGTGAATTTACAACTATATGCAACAACTTAGAAGAATCTCACAAGTATAATGATGAACAAATGAAGTCAGATGCAAAAAGTGCCCATTGTATGATTCCATTTGTGCATAGCTAAAAATCAGGCATTTTCTTTCTTTACTCTTGGCATGGGTTGAAAAATATTTAGTGAAAAAGATTTAGAAATTATTAATCTAAATGGCGAAAACATTCAATTACACATTCTATATATATATTTTTTTAACATTTTGTTCATTTCTGTAGGATTTTCTTCCCTTTTTTCCATTTTTTATATAATTAGAATCAATACCATGTATGATTTTATAGTTTTGTAGGTTGAGCTTTTCCCTTAAAACATTATCACTTTCCAGTATTATTATAAACATTCTTTGGAAACATTCCAGGAAAACATTTATAGCTGGGCAATCATTTGCAAATTACTTAACCTCATTGCCAGTTTTCTTTCTTTAAAATATTTTTTTAGATGTTGATGGATCTTTATTTTATTCATTTATTTAAATGCAGTGCTGAGAATCAAACCCAGGGCCTCACATAGGCAAGTGCTCTACCACTGAGCCACAACTTCAGCCCCAGTTTTCTTTAATGTAAGAATGATAGAATACCACCACCACCACCACCCAGGCTGCTTGCAGTAATAAATAATCAGAAGATCCTTACCCCCAGAACTGGCATATAATACTCAATAATAATTATCTGCTATGGTTGTTATTATTTGTTGTAATAATTAAAAAGATCCTGTTGATGGTAAATAAAAGCAAAATATATTCATTCATTACAATTTAGCTTTTTAAAAAAAAAAATATTTACTTTTTTAGTTTAGTTGGACACAGTACCTTTATTTTACTTATTTATTTTCATGTGGGGCTGAGGATTGAACTCAGGGCCTTACGTGTGCTAGGTAGGTGCTCTACAGCTCAGCCATAACTCCAACCCTTAGCTTGTTTTTTGAGTACCTATTCTTGGTAATGGTTTTATAACTTTAAATGATTCTAACCTAGAGAAATTTTGTACTAAACAAAGTATAAGGTAGGTGTAATGTCTTAGTATAACTCTTTACCAACTGGAAACAGAATAATGATGCTTGTGTTTAAACTGATGAGGGAAAATTGAATAGGGAATGTAAGGACTTCCCAGGCATATTAAAAGGCCGAGAGCACATTGTGTTAGGGGGTTTGCAAATAGTATAATAGGTGTGAGCATTGAACACTAACAGTGAAGAATAGTAAGGCAACCATGACAAATTGATGTAGGAATTTATACAGAGACAACTTTGAGTGAAAGATGGAAACAATGTTTCTTATTGTACATCTCTGTATTTGTATGGACAGTTAGAAACCTCTTGCCTTTAAGAGAAGAGATGGTCATAATTTCTGTTTACTTTCTCAGGATGTATTTAACTTACATAGTTCTTGATTTGAGCTGATGATTAAGAAGGATTAAAAAATAAAAGTTCGCATGTTCCCAAGAGCAATTACCTCAAATTTGCATTTCACAGGAAATTGAGGAATGGAGTCTAAACCTTCAAGGATTCCAAGAAGAATTTCTGTTCAGCCCTCCAGCTCCTTAAGTGCTAGGATGATGTCTGGAAGCAGAGGAAGTAGTTTAAATGATGCCTATCACTCAAGAGACTCTTCATTTAGACTGGAGTCTGAATATCAGGTAATATCTATATTGGAATATGTGTACACACAGTCCTTTTCAGAAGTCTTTGGGTCACAGTTTATTTTTTTTAAGTTGCTGGATCTAATGCATCCTGTAATGAAAACATTATTATAGCAGTAGAAAAATAAATGACTAGTGATTTTCAGACTTTGGACTTCAGAATTATGGATGAGAGATCATGGCCTTACATAAAATACTTTCTAAAGACTTGGAAAGCTTTGTTAAAGAGCAAAACCTGAATCCTTGTCCTCTAAATAGCATACTCGTTCATCTAACTTTTTTTGAATGTTCCCAAAGTGGTGATAGAATAAGGATTATTATTAAATGTTATTTTTGAGAATATGGTTTTTAAGAATTTTGCTTTTAATGTGGGCAATTGTTAATAGTAGTTGGGCTTTCTTGTCCAGTGATAGAGTATGTGCATATCCCTAGGACCTGGCTTCAATCCCCAGGAAGAGAAGGAGGAAAGGTAACAGTCCATCCTTTTATGAAGATACTTGACATCCTTTTACGTGAATTTTGGATTTTATTTTTGTGGTTAATGACATTTTGCATTAATTCATTCATCTACTCAGTTTCCTTGGGTCCAACAGCTTATTGGGTTTTTTGTTTGTTCTAGCATGTTGGTTTTTGAAAGGGCTTATCAGTGTTATAATACAGTAGTTATAGTATAAAATTGTATAACTCTCATAAGGCATGGTTTATGGTCTAATTCAGTTGCTCATCTTTTAAATTTAAGTTCATTACATTTTGACTGAACATCTAAGTAGCATGTGATTTGCAAAAGTAATTTTAAGGTAACAATCTAAAAGAACCCATTTAAAAAATTCTTTTTAGATATTGTTTCTGTATCATGTAACGTGTAATATATGACAGTCTCATTTAATAAGAAAATTCCTGCATAGTCATCACCATTTTATAAAATGTTCAGAGTAGTCATCACCATTTTATAAAATGTTCAGAGAAAGAATGAATAAAAGTTTCTTTGAAATGCCTGACTCTATTACCCATTTTTAACTGATTTAATTGGAAATATTCACTTGATTTCATTTAAAATATTGAATGATATTGGTAATATATATTGCATTCTGTAGAATGCTGTCGTTGACTCATAAAAGGCAAAGTTTATTTTTTTCCCATTTATCTTTTCATAAAATTCTGACTACTCATCTTTAATTTTTTTTATGTAGATTATTAATGAGAAACACAAACTCTGAAACCAGGGTTGAAGTCCTTCCTCATTACTTCGAATCTGTATGATCCTGAGGAAGTTAATGTTTTTTGTTTGTTTGTTTGTTTTTGTCTATCTTCTACCTCATCTGCTTGTCTGGTTGCTAAGAGTTAAATGAATTAGTATATTGAATGAGACAAGTGCCTGGCTCATGATAAACTATATAAATGCTAGCTACTAATGCATCATTTGTTTTCTTAATATAGTAACTTTTGGGCCGGGGACTGCTGGGATTGAACCCAGGGGCACTTAACCACTGAGCCACATCCACAATCCTTTTTAAAAAAAAAAAAATTGTTCCCGGACCCCCCCCCCTTATTGGGGGGGGATATATTTTATTTAGAGATAGGGTCTCACTGAGTTGCTTAGGGCCTGATAAAGTTACTAAGGCTGGCTTTGAATTAATGATCCTACTACCTCAGTCTGCTGAGCCATTAAGATAGTATGTGCGCACCACTTCGCACAATTATAGTAATCTTTACACTATTTTATGGGACTAAAGTTTTGAATATATTTTTATAAGATTTTATACTCTTTTTTAAAAGATTTTCAAACTGTTTCCAGATTGTTCTCATTGTTGTAGATTATTCCAAAAGTTATATTTTTTATTATAGTAAACAAATGTAAAAATAAGAAAATCATTTAAATGAAATCTTAATTACTATAAAAATGACCCTACCTAAAACACGCTGGTAATAGCCTATTAATATCGAATTCATTCCGTTTTATAAATGGTCTCAACTCTGCAATTACAAAATATAGACTGGCTGAATAGATGAATTCATTTTGTTTTAGAATTTTTAACCTCTGCTGCTGGTGATTTTGAACCCAGGGCAAGCCCTGTACTGCTGAGCTATACTGCCAATCCCTCTGTCCAGAATTTTAATGTCATTAAGTACCAAAATAAAATCCAGAAATTATTTGCCAGCATCTAAAAACCAAATGAAATAAAATTTAAATCGTTTTTTTATTATTATTAATTCTTAATAATATTAGTTTAAGAAATTTGGGGGGAGGTTCATTAATGCTGACTTCAGTTGCTTTAAATTGCTTACAATCCTGTTCCCACCCCCAGCAAATTATAGTTGAGCATGGTGGCATACACTCTTAATCCCAGTGATTTTGTAAGGTGAAGCAAGAGGGTCACAAATTTGAGGACAGTATGGACTTAGCAATACCCTATCTCAAAAATAAAATAAAAAGGGCTGGGGACATAGCTCAGTGCTTACCTATTGTGTGTTAGGCCTTGGGTTCAATCCACAATACCTCAAAAAAAATTAATTACAGGAATAGTGCCAGTAATAAATCAGCTTCTTTATCATGCCTTGTCTTTTTGATTTTCTTTAAAAATGCAAACTTTTTCCTGTGCTGTAAAATTATAGTAATAGTGGCTTCTTCATGAGGTATTGTTAAGATTAATTTAAAGAAACAAGACATGTGAGGCACTCAGAACAATAGCTGCTGGAACATAGGAGGAGCCTCAGATGTTACCAGTTACATTTATGATAATTGTTATTTCTATTAGTATTGTTTTCTGGCTTTACATTAATTTCAGTGGATAATATCTATAGTATAATATTATCCAAATATTTAAATTGCATATCACATATGTTGTTTTCTTTGTCTTAAATTTACTCAGCAAACTTTATTTAATGAATGAGCCCTTATAAATGGCAAAGGAAGCACCTTTTTTTAAATTGCTGAAGTGTTCTGAACAGCTGTTCGATACATAAAACCTTATCTCAAGCACTTAGTGAATCTAAAGCTTCAGAAAGGAGGTTCAGGTCTAGGGCATGATAGATCAGTTTTAGCTATGTTATGGATAAAGTAGTATAGAAACACTTTATATAGGGATGGATATTTTTATCATTCATAATAAAGGATATGAAATCTAGAAAGATAAATAAATTATTTTCCCTTGTTACATGATTAGTATGTATGTGATGTACTGAAGCTGAAGAATCCAAGCCTTTGTGATAGCATTGTTTCTTTGGAGGTTCTAAGTTCTGAAAAATTAGTTTCCTAAATATCTTTCTTTTAGTTCTTGGCCACTTACAAGCTTGGCTTCACTTGTTCTTACTAGTGTTTCCATTACTACATCTTTAAATTTTTATCACAATTTGAATGTTGAAAACTATGATTATCCTCCCTTCTTCATAACAGAATTTTACATATTTTGAAAATAAAAGTTTAACTCCTAAAACTCATGTTGTTAAAAGTAAAATGGAGAGGCTTGGGGTTGTGGCTCAGGGGTAGAATGCTCGCCTAGCACATATGAGGCCCTGAGTTCAGTCCTCAGCACCACATAAAAATAAATAAATAAAATAAAGATATTATGTCCAACTACAACTAAAAAATAAATACTAAAAAAAATTAAAAGTAAATAAAATGGAGTATTCTGTGAATACTTAATTTCATGTGTTATATTTTTTTGCAACTTAAGCAACCACTTATACAGCTGCATTTTCTTGTTTCACTAAGAGGTTTCTTTTACTAGGAACTTTTTCTTTTTTACTAGGTTTCTTTTACTAGGAGGCTTTTGGTTCTTGTTTTGTGAACTTGGTGTGTGTGCTTCTTGGTTCTTGCTATATGTGCTTCTTTTTCTTTTTCTTTTTTCTTTCTTTTTGCAGTTTGGGGATTAAACCCAGGGCCTTGATCATGCACGACAAGTTCTGTGCCACTGAGCTATATAGATGCTTTTTTAAATGACTCATATTTTTTCTAATCTGTACATAAATTACTGTTTGAAAAATTTACACATTTTGAATAGTATGTTTTCTCCAGAATTAAATGAACCAGTGGTTTGGGGAGAGGTTGTTTGTTTGTTTTTTTACTCTACCATATTCATATTCTTTTTACGGAACTAAATCCATGCATATGTATGTAGTTAACAAGAAAATGAAATTCTTTGTGCAATGTGATCAAAAAACAATACCGAGTGAGTAAAAGTTTTAACATTGGTAGGCATTAAATAAACCCTGCAGTTTCTATGTGTTTTTGTTGTTGTTGTTGTTGTTATTGTTGTTCATATTTTTGTTTGGGGTTGTGGGGGATGGAATTCAGGGTGTCCTTCATGCTTTGCTTGCTTCTATACAGTAATATCATTTTATGATTTCCATCCATTAAGCATTTGCCAGTGGATAGCATAGATTACATTTAAAAGGTTCGTTAAGATTCTTTTTAAAAACCACCCTAAGATACCATCTCACTCCAGTAAGATTGGCAGCCATTATGAAGTCAAACAACAACAAGTGCTGGCGAGGATGTGGGGAAAAGGGTACACTTGTACATTGCTGGTGGGACTGCAAATTGGTGCAGCCAATTTGGAAAGCAGTATGGAGATTTCTTGGAAAGCTGGGAATGGAGCCACCATTTGACCCAGCTATTCCCCTTCTCGGTCTATTCCCTAAAGACTTAAAAAGAGCATGCTACAGGGACACTGCTACATCGATGTTCATAGCAGCACAATTCACAATAGCTAGACTGTGGAACCAACCTAGATGCCCTTCAATGGATGAATGGATAAAAAAAATGTGGCATTTATACACAATGGAGTATTACTCTGCATTAAAAAATGACAAAATCATAGAATTTACAGGGAAATGGATGGCATTAGAGCAGATTATGCTAAGTGAAGCTAGCCAATCCCTAAAAAACAAATGCCAAATGTCTTCTTTGATATAAGGAGAGTAACTAAGAACAGAGTAGGGTCGAAGAGCATGAGAAGAAGATTAACATTAAATAGGGATGAGAGGTGGGAGGGAAAGGGAGAGAGAAGGGAAAATGCATGGAAATGGAAGGAGACCCTCAGAGTTATACAAAAGTACATACAAGAGGAAGTGAGGGGAAGGGGAAAAATAATATAAGGGGGACAAACAAATGTCAGTAGAGGGAGCAGAGAGAGAAGAGGGGAGGGGAGGGGAGGAGAGGGGAGGGGGGATAGTAGAGGATAGGAAAGGCAGCAGAATACAACAGACACTAGTATGGCAATCTGTAAATCAATGGATGTGTAACTGATGTGATTCTGCAATCTGTATATGGGGTAAAAATGGGAGCTCATAACCCACTTGAATCAAATTGTGAAATATGATATATCAAGAACTATGTAATGTTTTGAACAGCCAACAATAAAAAATTTAAAAAAAAAAAAGATTCTTTTTAAAAATAGCTTTACCAGGTTATAATTTCACATTCCATGCACTTTTCCTGTTTAAAGTATATACAGTTCAGTGTTTTTTAGTGTATGTATGAGAGCTCTAAACCAACACCACGGTTAGGATTTTGTTTTCTTTTTTAGGTTTTTTGTTGTTTATTTTGTTTTGCTGTTGGTAGTTCCAGGAATCAAACCCAGGGCCTCATGTATGCTAGGTAAGCTCTGTACCACAAAGTTGCACCTGCAGCCCACCACAGTTAATGTTTGAACCTTTTATATCACCTCAGGAAAGAAACCCCAGATACTTTAGCTATTGCTACTCTGGTCCCCTTTTCTTCCACTAGTACTGAATAGCCATTAATCTAGTTTTTTTCTGTAGATTTCCCTATGCTGAACCTCTTTGTACATAAGTAGGAACATATACTGTATAGTCTGTGCCTAGCTTCTGTTGCTTAGCATGTTTTCAAGTTTCATCTCTGTTATAGCATATATCAGTATTTCTTTTTATTGCTGAATAATATTTCACTGTATGGTTATTCCATATGCTTTGTTTAGGAATTCATCTGCTGGTGAACATCGGGCGTGTTTCTTCCTTTTGACATTATGAATAATTTTGCTATAGACATTCATGTGCAGGTTTCTGTGTGGACTTATTTTCACTTATCTTGGGCATACACTAGGAGTGGAATTAGTTAGTCATGTAAAATCTTAGGTTCAATCATTTGAGGAAGTGCCAGTTTATTTTCCAAACCAATTGGTCTGTTTATCTTTCCCCTGAGCAGTGTTTATGAAGGTGAAGGATGAAATCTCTCTACATCCTCACCAAATCTTACCTTGCTTTTAGAGTGTAGACACTCTAGTGAATGTGAAATGGTAGCTGATTGTGGTTTTAATTTATATTTCCCTGATGATTAAAGATGTTGAGCATCTCGTCATATGCAGTTGGCCATGTGTACATCTTTGGAGAAATGCCTGTTAGCTTTTTGAGGCATTTTAAAATTTGATTGTCTTTTTTATTGAGTTGTAAGTATTCCTTATTTTGGATTCAAGTTCCCTACCTATAATGATTATGATTTGTAAATGCTTTCTCATTAAGATTTTTTTACTGTTGCACTATTTTAAGGGCATTTGTGCTGGGAATATTTTTTTTTTAAATATCCATTGAAGTAATTTTCTAAAAGTAAGTATTGATTAATACAATAACAATGGCAAATTATTTACTGATTATTCTTCCAATAAACTTCTTGTTGGAAAGGTAACCTGAGTAAGTATTATGAAGATAAGAAAAAAATGAGAATTGAATTTTATGTAGAAGAAATAGAGTTAAGAAGAAAGAGAATACCATGACTTTCGAATGCAAATCTATTTTTAGTGGGTTTTGTTTGTTTTTGTTTTCTTGTGGTGCTGGGAATCCTACCTAGTACCTTTCACATGGTAGGCAAATGCTCTACCACTGAGCTATGTCTCTACTCCTCAAATAGAAATTTAATTATTCTTAGTTCACTTCTAAATTTCATGTGAGTATTCATAGGCTGGAGGTAGCAAATGCAAAAAGAGCTGGACCTCATCAGAATGAAAAAAATTTGTGTGTATCAAACGATACCAAGAGAATAAAAAGGCAGGATGAAATAAAATATTTGAGAAAATATAGTTGTCAAGGATTTATAACCAGAATAGAACTTTTATAGCTCAACAATTAAAGCATAACCCACTTTTCAATGGGCAAACAACTTGAATAGACATTTCTCCAGAAAAATAGCCAATAATCACCATCAATCATTAGGGAAACAAATCAAAACTATGGTGAGATACCACTTAATGCTCACTGGAGTGGCTAAAATAGAAAATATGGACAATAATAAATGTTAGGACTAGAAAAATTGGAAACCTCAGAAATTGTTGTTGAGATTGTCAAATGGTACAGCTACTTTGGAAAACAGTTTAGTGTGTCCTCAAAAAGTTAAACATCAGGGTCTGGCATTGTGGCTTAGCAGTAGATCACTCACCTAGTATGTGCAAGGCTCTGGGTTCGATCCTTAGCACCACATAAAAGTAAATAATTAAAATAAAGGTATTGTGTCCAACTACAACTAAAATATATATATATATTTTTTTAAAAAGTTAAACATCAAGTTAATAACTGTGTGATCAGTTATTAACCCAAGAGAATTGAAAACATGTCTGCCTAAAAACTTGTGCATGTGTATTCATAGCACCATTGTCCTTAATAGCTCTGAACTAGAAACAACCCAAAAGCTACTTGTTTAAGCACTGTTTATGCACAAAGCAATATACTTTGAAGACATACTCACCCCCTGATTTCATTGTGCCTGAATAGTTCTAGATAGCAGGACAAAATTTATTGATACATGAATTCCCAATTTAATTGTTAAAAGAAATTAGAGGGGGCCTGGGTTTGGTTGCACATGCCTGTCATCCCAGTGATTTCAGAGGCTGAAGCAGGAGTCATGTTTGAGGCTAGCCTCTATAATTGAACAAGTTAATGAGAACCTGTCTCAAAATAAAAGTGTAAACTGTGGAACCAACCTAGATGCCTGCCCTTCAGTAGATGAATGGAGGCTTGTGGTTTCTCATATATGAAAAGCAGAAAAAGAAATTTTTATGAGAAGAGAAGGGAGACCAGTAGAGTAGAGAATGGGGATCAGGCTGAGGGAGAAGGGGAGTTAATGCACAGTGAAATTGACCACCTTATGCAGGATTAGGTAGTAGAAAAACCTGCTAGTTGTAAGTAGCATTCTTTTCAAATTTTAAATTAAAACCTTTTTAATTTTGATCTTTGGCATCCAAAGTTATTAGAACCACTGCCCAGAGGATAACAACACATAAATTATTTGGTTCTGAGATATATAATGAACTTTATTTCTTGTGCCAATTAATTCATTGTGTCTCTATGGATTATTAGGTCCAGAAGGCTTATAGGACCAAGTTAATGCTAAGCTGAAGAGTGTCATAAAATATTGATGAAATCATATCTCCATGTTCTTGAATTTTTAGCTTTGCATCTTCTTCTTTTCCATATATATACAAAGTTAATAAATTTAATTGCTAACCATGAACTGTGATAGAATGGTTTATAGACATGTTTTCTTATTGTCTGGCTATAATGTCCTCCTTCATTTGCCTGCCCAATAAACTCCTGATTTTCACCTAAGCACCTCAGCCACCTCTAAATCCTCCCCTACCTCCAGCAGACAGGCTTTTTTCTGAAAACTCTCAGCATACCTCCTATTATACTACTTACTTATTTTTATATTTATTTACATATTTTGTATTTTTATATTTATTTTTTACTTGCCTGTTTTTGGAGCTGCTTAATCAGTGAAGTAACTGGGAGTGTTTGTACATTATGATTAACATTTGTTACAAGTTTTAATTTGTATCCACATGTGTTAAAAAGGGAGCTAGGGGTTTTTAAATATTATTTTAGTTTGTTGATTCACTAGTGAAGAAATTCCAAATGCTAGGATTTATTATTTAACGTAATCATAAGTAGTGTTGTCTGACTGTATTCCTGACAGTGGGAATCAGATCAGTAATAAAGTTTTGGGGTTTTGTTTTATTTCTACTGGGGATCAAAGCCAGATATTTATAGATGCTAAGAGGGAACTCTTGCAGTGAGTGTATGTACCCCCAGCTGATAAATAAATTTTTCATTACTTTAGAAATCTCATTTTCATAGTAGGGCATTCATAATTAGTTTATGACAAAATCTTTATTAAAGGTGTTCTTGTCTACCTTTAAGAAGAAGAAACAAAGTTTCTCAGAAGATTGAAATATTTAACCACGAAAAATAATGATAGTTTTTGCTCTTCTGTGTTTCATAACCAAGTGTGTATGTACAGTTATAAAGAGAACTTGTTGTAAATGAGATTTATAACTAGCAAAATAACAATTATATTGTATAGTAAAGTGATACATGGGTAGAAGGAGATAAAAGCTAAGAAAAAAAACATATGATAGAAAATTGATACTTGTGGGAATAAATTGTCCCTTGGGAATTTATTAGAGCATTACAGGTTAAATTTAATGTTGAATGCAAGCAAGTTTTGTTTCTTTAAAACTTTTTGAACTTAATAGTCTACATCAGCATCAGCATCAGCATCACCGTTTCAATCTGCGTGGTATAGTGAATCTGAGATAACTCAGGGAGCACGCTCAAGATCACAGAATCCACAACGGGATCATGATTCAAAAAGACCTAAACTTTCCTGTACAAATTGTACATCTACCTCAGCTGGGAGAAATGTTGGAAGTGGTTTAAATGCAGTATCAGGTAAGAATTATACAATTTCTGTAGAAGTCACTGTAGATGTATTTTGAACTAAAGCCATTTATTGATCTTGGGTTTGAGAATAAGCAGATAGACTTTCATGTAAAATAATGGTTTGGAAATGTAGTGCAGTTTGCAAATTAACTCTTCATTTTGCAGTTTTTCTAAATTTGGTACAAATATCCTACAATATAAAGGATATTAACAGAGTAGTAATCAGGTTAAAAGTGTAGTAGTACTAGTAGTAGTAGTAGTAGTAGTAGTAGTAGTAGTAGTAGTAGTAGTAATTGGTTAAAAGTGGCATGCATTTATATGCTGGTTCTTATGGGAGATTAATTTTTCAAGTATTATTAGGAAAGCCAAAACTATTGATACATGTTGAAAACACCTCCTGAGCATATTTTATGGAAATGATAAACATGGTATATGAGGTTTATTTTCAGAAAATATGGAAACTGAGCCCAGTGTAGTGGTGCATACCTGTGATCCCAGCAATTTGGGAGGTTATGGTAGGAGGATTGCAAGTTCAAGGCCAGCTTCACCAACTTAGGGAGAACATCAGCAATTTAGCAGCTCAGTGATGGAATACCCCAGGTTCAATCCCAGTACCATAAAACAAAATAAGGAAACTGGAAACTCTTTAATTAAAAAATGAAGTTGGTGCTATCCTAGAAAGAATTCTGTTCAAGGAATTAGTTCTGATTCTAGCCATCTGAGTAGATGAATGGCATTAGGCAAGTTACTGGGATTAGGTAACTTATCCACAAAACTCCATGTCTGATATTTTGTACTCTTAGACACATACTTGTATAAATTGAGATCTGTTATTGAGAGAGCAAATTCTCCTCACTTATACTTCTCTAAATGAAATGTTAATGCCTGAAATTGTTGTCAGAAGGAGACAAAACTTTTGATAACAAAATTGGAGATAAAATTCTCAAAATGCTCATGGATTACTAATTGAATGAATGTAAGCAATTCATTTTTATTTTGATAGGCAGGACTGCCATGTGAAAGACACTGCCCATATGAAGAATATTAAAAGTACTATATAGGATGGGTGATGGGTAAGAGCAGATTGTCCTTAACTTTGTAGACAAACACCACTGTTGCAGAGAGATTTTTTTCTTCTGCTATATGAAGGCACAGCATTAAGTACCTAGAGCTTTTTCCCTTCATTAAGGCTGTTGGGACTACGAAAGGAAGCCAGAATTTCACAATAAATAGTAAGACAAGGTGTGAGACTTAATTTTTAATTTACTTTAAAAGGAAATTGAGTAAAATTTTGATCGTAATTGCAGTATATTAATTCTTACACTAAAGAATGAACCAAATATGGTAGCCATAAAAATGTTTCTGGGATGGGTATATTAGCTCTATGGTAGAATGTATGCTTAGTATGAGTGAAGCCTTGGGGTTCAATCCCCAGTACTCCCCAAACAAATTTTTTTCCATGATAAAATTGTGTTGTGATCTGTAATTAAAATTGCATGTCAAGATGACTTTGATTTGTTTTTGGCAGTTTCCCAACATCACTTTCATTGATTATGAATTTCTGTCATCTTTGGCAGATTAGCATTTTTTATCATGTTTACATTGTAAAATATGTTTAGGAGGAGGTGACTGAGACACTGATATCATATATAAGGATAAATTTTACTGTTAAAAGTGTGTTTATTGTTTAGCATGTGGAAGGCCTTGTGTTCGTTGCCCAGCACCAAAACAAACAAAAAGAGAATGAGTAGGAGAGAAAAAATATGTTATAACTGATTAGTTCATTAGTGAACGATGTGTTTTGCTGAATTTTGGTTGCAATAGGTACTTGTGGGGGTTCCCATAATAATTAACAGTAACCTCCCTCTATATTACAGAAGATTTATTCTTACCAAAAGTCTTAAATTTTCTCTAAAATAAAACTTCTTCAATTAATTTAAGATTCTTCTTGGAGGCATAATCAAGTTCCCAGATCTTCATCATTGGTACTTGGTTCATTTGGAACAGACCTAATGAGAGAGAGGAGAGATTTGGACAGAAGAACAGATTCCTCTGTTAGTAATCTTATGGATTATAGTCACCGAAGTGGTGATTTCACAGCTTCATCATGTATGTATGAACTTCAGTTGTTAAGTACAACTTATTTAATAATGTTGTCTTTTCTTCTTTATGTCATTATAAACAGTACAGAGGAATAAATGAATTGAATCATATGTCCTTATGTAGACTTCATAAAAAATAGCATAATGTTTCTTTCCTTGTGGGTGGGTGGTGTTGGGGATCAAACCCAGGGCATCAAGCATGCCAGGCAAGTAAGTGCCCTACCACTGAACCACATCCCCAAACCACATAATATATTTTGTTGTAATGTATTCGTTGTTTTACTTTAAAAAATATAAACAATTTACTTGAGTATTTAGAGTTTATCTGCCTTTAAGTTTGTGTTTGGTTAAATTATTCCTTTTAAGAATGCGTATGTTAAAAAGTATCATTAGGTAATTCTAGTCAGTTTGTTTATAAGATATAGTTTAATAAGTAACTACTTCTAATTAGATTCTGAAATAGCTAAATGTTGAAATCAGCTATTTTAAGTTGTAATTTAGAATTATTTAGTATAACTTGAGTATGCTTCTTTTCATTAAGTTGATGTAAAGACCTACACAGTTTACATCACTGTTATCTAGATTTAAGCGTTTAAAATATTTACCCCCAAGTAATTGAAAGGGAAAACTAGTAGTCAAAATTGACAAATTAGCAGATAGAAGTGGAGTTCGATTTACATAGAAGAGGAAAGTACATTTTTTAAAAAAAAAAAGTTTGGGTTATTTTAAGTAATCTTACTGGGGTGCTTTATTGAAGACAAATAAAAACACTGTTTTATTTCTTTGGCTTTGGTGGAAGGATCTTGAATAGACAGTATCAATGGCTTCTAGATTGGGGGATATAAAAATACAGGACAAAAATAGATTAAATCCCTAACAGTTTGTCCTTTCATGAGTCTCTATGTTTAGCACAGTAGTAATGGAGCTCTCCTATATGGTATATAGCTAACTGTTCTTCACAAAGAAAAATTCAAAACTCCAGTTAAGATATATTTTTAAAATGCAGGTGCTAGAGCTCTGTTCTACTTCAGTTCCAAGCAATGTTCCAAGACAAACTTTTTTCTAATGAGCAATCAGAAATCCAAACTGTTGTTATTAACTTAAAAGTCAAAAAATTAGAGAAATTTTAGCTATTAGCAGGGTTTGTCATAAATTTAGAAGGGTGATAATATTTACATAAAGTAACTTTTGTGTTTATTGTATATAGTATATAATCGCCCTAGGATGATTTTGCTTTTAATCATTTTAAGGGTTAGATTGTATTACTTGATCTATATAAAATTCTTTATCAGTTTAGATTTTTGGAGACTTTTCTATTATATCAGTTTCTGATAATACATTCAACTGCTTAGCCTTCATACTGCTTTTCATTAGCTCATGATATAGTCTTTCTTTTGAATTTGCAATATTGACTTGACCTGGTGGTACTTTATTTTACCAGTAGGAATAAGAAGAGAAATACATTACTGTTTTTTCTCTAATGATAGTTAAGCTCTCTAGTTATAAGACAGCAGTATTCAGCTCAAATTTAGCATTTCATTTTGCTAGCAAGTAGTAGTTAATAAATGCAACTTTAATAATATTATTTCATATAATTGGTTACCTTTCCTTCCTTTCAAAAATAGATGTTCAAGACAGAGTTCCTTCTTCATATTCACAGGGAGCAAGACCAAAAGAGAACTCATTGAGCACTTTACAGTTGAATACATCATCCACAAGCCACCAGTTGCCTTCTGAACATCAAACAATACCAAGTTATAGGGACTCCAGCAGAAATTCTTTAAGGTCAAATTTTTCTCCAAGAGAATCAGAATCTGTTCGAAGCAGTGCACATCCTGGATTTTCTTATACTTCAAGCAGAGATGAAACCCCATCCATAAGCAGTTCAGAAAGAGTTGGTTCATCTCAAAGATCATTTCAAGAATCTTCTGACAATGAAGGTAGACGCACAACCAGAAGATTGTTGTCACGTATAGCTTCTAGCATGTCATCTACATTTTTTTCACGAAGATCTAGTCAGGATTCCTTGAATACAAGATCCCTGAATTCTGAAAATTCTTACATTTCTCCAAGAATTCTAACAACTTCACAGTCTCGGAGTAATGCAACATCACCTTCTGAAGTTAATGATAATAGGGGATCTGAAGCTTCTCAAGGATTTCGATTTCTGAGGCGAAGATGGGGTTTGTCATCACTCAGCCAGAATCATAGCTCTGAGCCAGATTCAGAAAATTTTAGCCAGGAATCTGAAGGTAGAAATACAGGACCGTGGTTATCTTCCTCCCTTAGAAATAGATGCACACCTTTGTTCTCTAGAAGGAGACGAGAGGGAAGAGATGAATCTTCAAGGACAACTACCTCTGACATACCATCTAGATCTCATATTTTCAGAAGAGAATCAAATGAAGTAGTTCACCTTGAAGCACAGAGTGATTCTCTTGGGGCTACTGCCAACAGACCACAAGCAGCTGGAGCATCAAGCAGTGCCTCTACAGGTGGCTCCTCATCAGATTCTGCTCAAGGTGGAAGAAATACAGGAATAGCAGGGATTCTTCCTGGTTCCTTATTCCGATTTGCAGTTCCCCCAGCACTTGGAAGTAATTTGACCGACAACGTCATGATCACTGTAGATATTATTCCTTCAGGATGGAATTCAGCTGAGGGAAAGAGTGAAAAAACTAAAAGTGCACCTTCAAGAGATCCAGAGCGATTACAGAAAATAAAAGAGAGGTAAATCTGAATATTCATCTTAAGCTGTATAGCTAGAACAAATTAGAGAAAGAATTCTTTTTAATTGTATATGACTTCTAATAACATGGATACCTGAAATTCCTTCCCAAACATACTTATATGATGGTACTGTTTCACTTACAGATAAATGGGGAAAATTAATAATGAGGTAGGCACTTGGGGTTGTAAATTGCATCAAGAAATAATCTAATGGTTATTTTTAACCAATTTGGGATGTAGGTACAAACAGATTTTTTAAAATGTTAGTCTCTTATCCTCTTTCTTGATTAGACTTTTACTAAACGGGGTTGGCAAGAGATAATAAATCTGTATTAGTCTTTACTGAGTTTATTTTGTTTACCATTTACTGGGATCAAACCCAGATGCATGCTACAACTGAGTTACATACCTAGCCACGTCTTCCCCACCTTTTTTTTTTTTTTTTTTTTTTTTGAGATGAGGTCTTACAGAGTTTCCAAGGCTGGCTTTGGAATCCTGCTCAGACTCACTAATAACAGGGATTACAGGAATGCACCACCGCACCTAACTTTGTTTTGTTTTTGAAGCTTAAGTGTATATTGAATGTTCTTTACATATTCGGATTTATTAATAGGTGTCAGGTTTTTTTGTTTGTTTTGTTTTGTTTTGGGGGGGTGGGGTACTGGGGGATTAAAATCAGGGACACTCAACCACTGAGCGACATGACATCCCAGCCCTATTTTTGAACATTATTTAGAGACAGGGTCTCACTGAGTTGATTAGTGCCTTGCTTTTGCTGAGGCTGACTTTGAACTCAGGATCCTCCTGCTTCAGCCTCCTTAGCCGCTGGGATAACAGGCATGAGCCACTGTGCCCTGCAAGTGTCAGTTTTAATTCAGGTCTTGCAGTGTTTTTGTACGAAAGAAATCTTTTACACAACTTCTTCTATGAGCTATCTGCTGGAGGAATGTAGTAACTATTATAATTCTTGCCCTCAAGGTTAGGTTGATTAGAATGCAATATTGTACATAGAAGGCAAAGTCAAAGAGAAACAATTGGAGAAGTTGCCTCAGCTCAACAAGAGACCAGGCAGGGACTCATATGAGCTAATGCTCTGAATTTCTGGGCCCCAAGCTGAGGTTGCAAGGGGCTTTTATAGGAAATTTGACATCATTTCTTAACCATAACAACATTGGTGAGTTTTAATTCTTGGCCTGTATGACCAAAGACCATGCATAGGGAATTTATGGTAAGTGGCTCACAGGTGTAGAACAAACACTACAGCACTTGTGAGTTTTATTGGGAAGTAGCCTTCACCATAGGCAGAAGTAATGTTGTAGGGAACAGATGAGGTAGGACACCAAAGATAGCAGGAAACAGTTTAGTTGGCTACAGCCAGGTTCAGAGGGTATAGCTTTCACTGTAATCAATTAATCCCCTGAACCTTGAGTAACTAATAAAGAAGTGTTCAGTATCTGAGTGCTGGTCACTTTCAGGCCTATGGCCAAATTTAATTATTATAAGATAGAGCAACAGGAAATAGGAAGCACAACTCCGATGAACACTTTTATAGAGATTCTTTAGTCTTAAGATAATTATGGTAAAGATTTCTGGAGAAACTTAATTAAGATTTTCTGTGGAGGAGGGGGGTGCCACTACAGTAACTCAAGATAATTTGAGCTTACTTCCCTAAGAGTTGTATTTCTAATAACTAAGTCTTGGAGGTAATGGTTTAGACAACAGTTAATTGTCCTAGCAATCAAGCTATGTAGGAACATTTCTTCCCAGTTCAGAAAGTTAAAAATTATAGGCATCTGTTGGATCTCTGGCCTTGGAAGCCTGTCACAGAGATGTTTGCATTTCAGTCTCCTAAAGATAGCTATTTACAATCCAGTAGATTCAGACCCATAATTTCGCGGAGAAAGGCTGAGGGTGGGAAATGAACCCCTTCCTCAGGCTTTGGTTTTTCATTATAATGTTCTTATATTTTCATTTTATAATCAGGTCTGATATCTCTGCCACAAAACATTAGGCCTGTACCCTTTCTGGTTAGATAGTTTAAAAAGCAGCACTTTGAGGATATTTTACCACAATATGTGTCTGTATTTTCATTTTGCCTTATATATAAGAATTTTAAGAATTGATCTCCTAAGTGAAAAATAAACTTAATAGGTTAGAAAGTTAAAAGTAATACAAATGCCATATTTTCAACCTTTCTAAATAATTTATGCGTGGCTGTTTCTCTGATAAAGCTAAGGCATGAAAATTACCTAAAAGTTGTAAATCTGCTTGTTGCTTTCCACAAATCTTTTGCCAGATTCATTAGGAGACTATACAATTCAGGTTGTATTTTGGTAGCAGTTCAGCATTCAGTATTATCTGTTTATTTGCCCTTTGGTGTCAAGGTAGACTATTACAGGAATTTTAACAAAGTTATTTTGTTGTTATCAAATTACTATTCTGCATGTAAATTAAATAACATCTAAATTAAATAGCATTTGTTGACCTGACAAATGTTAATAGAAATTGTTCTGTGCTTTAAAAGTCTACCCTTGTAGAAATCTGGATGATTCAATAAGATTGCTGGGGGTGGGGAAATGGAGAATTTAACGTCTTATTTATTTTTTACTATGATCTAATACAAGAAAGTTAACAGTTGAAAATAGGTGGTTCTGCTAACATATAACTGAGAAAGCACAAGTCAATATGTGTTTATTCACTGAAATAGTCTTAAATTTGGGGGAGTGATGAGAGACAAAAATGAAGAGTATATATAAAGTGACTGTGAAAAATATGGGAACTTAAAACTGTGCTACCAAAGACATATTTACTTAAATCACTTAAAGATAAGTGGTAGAATACCCTGTTTCATTTACTTTAAAATATTTGTTATAAATTTTTATTCTCAGTGAAATTTTTTTATGATTACTGTTTATTTTTATCACTGCTTTGTTGTTTTTGTCCTTTACTTTTTCCACTTAGTATGAGGAGAATAATAATGAGAGATTAGGATTATATGTAATTGGAATGATATACTAAGATGAATTATTATTTCTGTCTTGGGAAACTGTGCCTTCTTTTCTAGCCTTCTTTTAGAGGACTCTGAAGAAGAAGAAGGTGACTTATGTAGAATTTGTCAGATGGCAGCTGCATCTTCATCTAATTTGCTGATAGAGCCATGCAAGTGCACAGGAAGTTTACAGTATGTCCACCAAGAGTGTATGAAAAAGTGGTTACAGGCCAAAATTAACTCTGGTAAGATTTACCCCTTTGTGTATTTTGTTTCCAATTTTTTTCCAAGAGATACACGTATGTATACATTTTGGCTAACAAAGTTATAATTTATTAATTGTTGAATTTAGACTTACCTAATTTTGAATTTAGACTCTTACAAAAAGTATCATAATCATTTTTTTAGAAAGAGCATTTGTCATGCTTTATAAATTTGTTTATAATAATATTTCTATGGTATTGCTACCCAACTGTTTCTTCATACATATATAAAACAATTTACAATTCCTGATGACCCTTATGTCATGTAAAATCTTTCTGAATCAAAGAAATACACTCAACATTTACCATCTGTATTTTTGAGAAAAACTCGTTTCTCATGCTGTTGTATCACTTAGCACATTAGGATAATACCTATCACAGGGTCCATTTGTTCATTGAGAACTGTTACAGAGCCAGGCACGTTTAGTAAATAAGAACAACTAGGCACCTGCTCTTGTGCGTATATTGGCTGTTAAAGGAATACCTTTCTTAGGTGAGGATATTTAAACTGATAGCTGATCAGTGAGGAACTAGCTATTCCAGAGTGAGAAGGGAATTTTTATCAGAACAGCTAGTACAAAAACTTTAAAGACGGGGATGACTTCAGTGTATGATGCTCAGTATAGCTGGTGTATAATTAGTGATGGTGGGGAAGGTGTGATACATCAGTAGTGAGAGGTCAGCAGAAGCTTTTGTTGTTGTTTTTTAGAGGGGAGGAACTAGTTACCTTTATTTTTATGTGGTGCTCATAATCAAATCCAGTGCCTCACAGGTGCTGGGCAAACACTCTGCCACTGAGCTACAGCCCTAGCCCCTTGTGCAAGACTTTTGAAGATAAATTCTAAAGCTAGATTTTTACCTAAGTATGATGGGAAGCCACTGAGGGGAAAGGAATAAAATGGTATTATTTATATTTGGCTGCTCTGTGAATAATGAATTTTAGGGAGATCAGGTGTAGAGGCAGGAAGACCAACCAGCAAGCTATTACAATAGCACTTGCTAGAGTTAGTAATGGCTATCTAGATGTGGTAGTAGTGACAATGATGATAGAAATTCATAGATTTTGATATGGTTTTGGAGGGAAAATTGGATTGGAAAGAAGCCAGAAATATAACAGATTTGGGACAGGAAACTAAGTGTTCTGTTTTGGACATTTGTATTTGTGCTACTTTTTAGGTGACCATATAAAAGTGGTCGAGTATTCTATTAGCTAGACAAGCCTGGCACTTTGGGAGAAATACTCAAAAGTTACAGTTAAGGAACCAGAAGGAAATAAATAAATAACATTTTAAATAGTCTTCTAGTGAAGGAGTTAAATATCAGAGACATAGGCCCAGGACAGTGCCCTGGGACACCCAAATATTTACTGAGAGCAAAGGAGATTTAAAGAGCAGCCTCTAGTTAGATAGGAAGAAAGCTAAGAAAATGTTATGTTGTACAAGCCTAAGGGCAGTATGATCAACCTTATACTGCTGAGGTGTCAAGTAAAGTAAGAATAGTGAAATGACAGTTGGTTTTGATAACATATAGATATCCTGATTGGTGACTTCAGTCTCTGGAGTGAGTTAGATAGGACTGAGGAGAGAAAAGGAAATTAGAAAGGGCAGACAGCAACATAGACCTCTCTTTCAACAAATTATTGCCAGGGCTACTGGAGACAGCAGCAGGAATTAGAGAATCTTAATGGGTCACAGAAAGTGTTTCAGATTGGATACTTTCAGTCATGTGTTTGAAAATCCAGTGGAGAGGGGGAAAAAATCTTTGAAAAAGAGATTAAGATGGGATCCAGAGCACAAATTGTTGAATGATTACCCTTTGAAAGAAGGGATGTTTCATTTCCCGAAAGCTATTGTTGACATCAGTTTGTTGGTTTGGTGGGAGGATGCATTGCTTTCTATATAATTGTTTCTAATTTGTTAAAGAAATATGTTTTTTTATCTGATTGTGAGACAGGTTAGGAGATTTTGAAATGTGGGCAAAATAGCATTCTAAGTCTGTATGGTAGGATTTCCAGGTAGCAGTAGTATCCATAACTATGATTTTAGGGCAGGGGGTCTAACTCAGTGGTAGAATGCTTGACTAACATGTGCAAGGCCCTGGGTTTGATCCCCAGTGCTACAGAAACACAAATTTTAAATAACATTTTAAGGTGAGACACATGCATTTTTTAAAAAAGCAGCTTTGCAGTTTCTTGGATACAGACACTGAGTTTATTGGGCTTGGATCCTTTACTTGGTAAATATCACAGAGGGTGTTAAGGGTATCATTAAGCACATAATTGTGGTATGATGTTGTAAATTTAAATCAGGAAGTGGATAGAAAATGGTAAAGTCAATGTCTTTGAGTCTTGATATTAAAGAGAGCTGCCAGACAAGTTGAAAAGAGCTGGAGTGATTAAATTGTAGGTATGCAAAATGAGAAGATGCTTGAAATGAAGATCCTAGGAGTAGTGCAGGTCAGGGTATGACCTTAAAGTGGGTACCTGAGGTGGGATCATAATGGAATCCAAAGTGAATTATTCTATGTGGATGTTGAAATAACCAAAAAATAAGTTGATAAGGAAGATGCAAGCTGGGCACGGTGGTGTACAGCTGTAATCCCAGAGACTTGGAAATGTGAGGCATAAGGATTGCAAGTTCAAAGCCATCCTCAGCAACTTAGCAAGACCCTGTTTCAAAATAAAAAGTGAAAAGGACTGGGTTTGTTGCTCAGTGGTAGTGCTCTGGGTTCAATCTCTAGTACCAAAAAAGAAGAAAGTGGGGGCTGGGGCTGTAGCTCAGTGGTAGAGTGCCTCACACGTGTGAGGCACTGGGTTCGATCCTCAGCACCACATAAAAATAATAATAATAAATAAATAAATGTATTTTTAAAAAAAGAAAGTAGCAAGTCATTTGATGAATGAGGTTTGAAAATATCGATGAGTGAGCATCTGTCCTCACTTCTTGGTTATGAGGTACAAGGGACTCTGGGATAAAAATGCCTAGAAAAGAGGATGTTTTAGTCAGAAGGCACTGTGATTCACACATAAAGGTAAAGAGATGATTCAAAAAGTCTGGTTCTTAAAAGAATTTATTGGTGTTAGACCATGAGTACTAGAGAACCTGGTAGGGTGCGAAATTAATAAATGAACATAAGTATAAGATTAGGGCCTGATAAGTATAGCTTGGTGACATAAGTAGATATGTTGTGAAGTTTGATAGCAGTGTTATTAATTTTCATATTCTGTTGGAGGAGTCAGATTACCCATTCAAGACAGATTAGGTGCCACTGGGAACTCTTTTTTTTTTTTTGGTGGTGGTGGTGGTGGTGCTGGGGATTAAACACAGGGCTTTGTGCATGCAAGGCAAGCACCCTGCCAACTGAGCTCTATCCCCAGCCTGCCACTGGAAACTTTTCCTGCAAATTTCTGAAATGTGGTTCTTAAGGAATCAGCAGAATCTTTCTTTGAAGGCGTATGAGTGGGGAAGTAGTCTACTTTATAAGCTTGTCTGAGTCCCAGGCTCTGGAACAATGCATTTCTTTTGTAGCTGCCTCTTCTCTTAGTAGTTTGGTGTTACGATAACCTTATAGGCTTAATTAGTCACTACCATGAGGTGTTATTAAGATTCATTAAGAGATTACACATGAAGTGCTTAGCATGGTTCTTGACACTGAGTAAGGGCCCAGCAATGTTAGATATTACCAAAATGAAGAACAACTTGATTCAACTTCTGATACCCTGGCAATTGGATTGTTAATGTTGAGTGTGGAGGAACATATAATACAAGTTTATTGCTTAAGAACATTGCCTTTTTGGAGTTAGACTAGACTATACTAGACTATTGTCTCCAACACTCAGCTAGCTATAGGCTCTTGAGAATGATTATATTTATTTATTTATTTATTTATTTTTGTAAGGTACTGAGGATTGAACCCAGGGGAACTCTACCCCCTGAGCTATAATACCAGTGTGTTTTCTCCTGTTTGCTTGTCCCTTTCCTGTGGAATAGCTTGCCACTTTTTTTGTTATTGTTTGGTTTTGGTTTGTTTTCTTATTAAGAACAACTCTTATTTTGGGTTCATAGATCTCCAGCCCTTTTATTTTGTATTTTTAGACAAGAGTCTTGCTGGACTTGAACTTTAGGGTCATGATAAACAAAATGCTCTTAGATTAAATCAAGTATGAGAGAAAATGATGCATTCAAGAGACTGTAAAAACAAGATACATGAGGCCAATGCCAGTATAACACAGCATGTCATTTTTACAATAAACTTTTGTTTTCATAAGCTAAAGGAGTATCAATCTTCTCCTTGACTAAACTGTGCATGATTGTATAGCAAAAATCGAATGTACTTTGTCTACAACTCATTGTGAGACATTATCATATACTTCCTCAGATTGGAATTTACCTTCCTTTTAGCTGTTTTCTTGAAAATATGCATTAGTTTAAGAGTTTTTTATACTTCTTAAGATGGGCTACTGATTACTTTCTGCAGAATCTCTAAAACCTCTAATTATTGTTTGGCACAAAACACTAAGAAATGTGAGTTGAATTTAATTTAAACATCTTATTTGTTTTTCATGTAACTTATTCTAATTTAGGACATTTTTTATTTGGAAACCCTGTTTAAAGCAAGAATAGGGAATTTACATTTTTAATTACACTAAACCTAAATTGGAGCCAGAATTTTATAATAATCAACTGTTTAATGCATTTGAAACAAATGTTTCCCTCTTTTAAAAAAATGTGTTAAAATAGATATAAAAATTTCCATTTTGACTATTTAAGTGTATACTTAAGTTGCATTTATTGTGTAACCATCACTACCATGTATTTTCAAAACCTTTTCATACCCAACACAGAAACTGTACCCTTAAAATGCCGTAACCCCCCACTCCTTCCCAGTCCCTGGTAACTTTTGATCTACTTTCTGTCTCTCTGAATTGGCCTAATGTAGATATGTCACGTAAGTAGAATCATAAAATATTTCTTGTTTTGTATCTATCTTATTTCATTTAGCAAAATGAATGCTTTCAGGGTTCAGCCATAGTGTTAGCATGTATCAGGACTTAATAATTCTTTTATAGGCAAAAGTAGCTGGGTTGGTTGGTTGGTTGGATTTGTGGTGCTGGGGATCAAACACAGGGCATTGCAAATGCTAGACAGGCACTCCACCATAGAACTACTTTCCACTCCCAAAGAGCTGCTTTAATCTGGACACAGGTGTGGACACATTTTTCCCCTGTTAGTCAGCAGGGCAGGCACATTCCTTAGAAGCCAGGAGATCTTAGTGTAGGCTATTATCTGAAAGACACTGGCCTGATTATGTAAAAACTAGCTGTTTGAGATGTTATCATTAAACTGCTTACATGGTACCTAGTCAAGATACTTGAGGAAGAAGTAGGAAGCATGGATGACATTCCATTGCCTGGCATTCCATTACCTCTTTCAGCTTCCCTCAATCAAAAGGATATGTGAACATCAAGGAGAAGAATATAGTAGAGATATTTGAATAATGGGTGGAGGCTTAAATATCATAGGATAGGACTTGACATGCACATTGGGTGTTACAGATTACTATTTTAAGAGATGTTACTGGTTTATTGAAGGAACATAATCTCTCTCCTACTATACTCTCCCCTTTTTTTCTAGTCCCCTTCTTGAAACTTTCTGCATTTTAAACCTAAAAATTAGGAGGGGAAATGTTTTTCAAGGACAGTATAAAATAAGTCTTACTTGTCATTTAATTTTTACCAGGTTCTTCATTAGAGGCTGTAACCACCTGTGAACTTTGTAAAGAGAAGTTGCAGCTTAACCTGGAGGATTTTGATATTCATGAACTACATAGAGCTCATGCAAATGAACAAGTTAGTATATTTTGCCTAATTTGGTAAGTGTCTATTCTATGCTTAAAGGACAGCTCTTGAAGAAAAGATTAAGTCATGGTCAGAAGCCCTGCATTAAACTAGCAATAATACTTTTAACATAAATCTGTTACTGCATTAGGTGTTTATAATTTTTCTGTAACTTTAAGTGAAAGGCAGTCATTGTACAGGTTTTTAATTCATCAAGGTAAAATTTGTTGTGCTCCCTAAATAAGCCTGAAAATAATAAAAACTTAGGAAAGTGGTTCCAGAATAGGCATGCCAACCTTTTTTCCCCAGAACTGTATTTGAGATGCTTAAATGATAGAATAAAGAGCTCAATATCTTTCCCTACTGAAGGAAAACTCTGGGAGCAGAAAGTATGTGTTTAAGGAGATCAAAAGGGTGACCCTAGAGCCCAACTATCCAAGTGTGGTTAGTGTATTTGTTATGAAAAGAAATAGGATGGCAAGGGAATGTATGAAGTGCTTGACCCTTCCCTGACCCCAATTTTATACGAGATGAGGTACACACAATATCAAAATAATTTTAAAGTGGACAATTCAGTGGTTTTGATACATGTTCAAAGTGATGTGCAACCACCATTTGTCTAGCTATGAAATATTTTCATTACTTTACAAAGAGAATCCTGTAGTGAATTCTATAGCCATTACCAGTTGTTCCCATTCAATCTTTTAGCCCCTGGCATCTACCAGTCTATTTAATAAACTTAAATGCTTAATCACCTTGCAGGAATTAGATATAGATACATTTCTTCTAGTTTATCAGTGAACTCTGACTTATTCTGTCCTGATCTGGACATTTCATATAAATAAAATTTTATAATATATAAGGTCTCTTGTGAATAGCCTTTATTTTTAAAATAAATCATGGAAATAATGGATACTCTTTGAAAATCTGATTAAAACTATGGATCCTCCTTTCAAAATATATAGCACAAATTCTGTATATAATTTTTAAGAATTCCCAGATCTCTTAAAAATAAAAGATCATGATTGCCTAGATTGTTTAGATCAGGCTTAAGAATCACTGATTTCTAAAGAATGAAACATTGGTGGTTTGTATAAAATAACTGCTATATTTTATAACAATTTTATTATATTCCTCTAATGAGCCAGTCGTCCAAAAAGGAAATAACTTTCAGCAATCACTTCAATCCCCAAAAAGTCTACACAGACAGCTGAGCATTTGTATTTTAAAGAACAGGGGAAAGAGTATATAGTATATATGGAATAGTGCAGGGAAAAGAAATAATTTTAAAGAATGAGTAAGTTTCAAAAGGATTCTCTCCTGCCATCTTCCTTCTTTTGATGTTCATCATTTCTCTTAAAATGAAGGCTTTGGTTTTTCATTCAGGGAGTGTTTTTATTGTTATTAAAGCACTTTAATGACTCACATTCTTACATGACTTAGAAATGTTTGGAAATACCTGGTGGAGTCATTATTTAAAACAATGACTGGTCTGATTAAGCTTCCCAGCTTTAATTTGTTTGTTGTATATGAATCATGGATTCTAGTGACCTGACAACTACCCTAATTTTAAGTGATTATTTTGATAGTTAATTTCCTCATTTTCTAGTGGCTTCATTTTTCTGCAAGGTGATTAAGCATTTAAGACTTAGTAAAAATTTTCTTGATATGTGATTTTTTTGAGTTACAAAATAAGCATTTTAAAAAACAAATTTCAAATTTCTTGAATACTCTGTAGAATCTGATAACCAAATACTTGCTAAAAATAAATACTAAAAATACACAATTATTAACTTGATGATTTAATTGCTCAAAAAAGGCACAACTTACCTTTTCACTGTTAAAATTATAGGACAAATCAGATTTTTGTTTTTTCAGTGCTGGGGATCAAACCCAGGGCCTCACACATGCCAGAAAATTGCTGTACCACTGAGCCACATTCCTATCCCTAGATGTTTTAAAAATACTAATATGATTTGTAATCATAGCTTTAAAATAACAGAACAGGGCTAGGGATATTGCTCAGTGGTAGAGCACTTACCTAGCATATTTGAGACCCTGGGTTCTGTTTCCAACACACCATACATGTGTGTACACACACACACACACACACACACATAGTTTGAAACCAAAGGACTCTTTTTACCAATTAAAATTTCTGTGTGAATGAGTTACAGTATTATCTTGTTAGTTCATTCTTATATTTTTCTGTTGCCTTCAAACTAATTATATTACACATGAAATACTTGAGCTACCAGAATAGGTATTAGTTTAGTAATATATTGATTTAGTGTAAATAAATATATTAAGCCAACATATAGCTACTTACTTTTTGTAAAAGGCAATCCATTATGAGCTTTATAAAAAACCAAAGCATTCATTCTACTATCAAATTATTTAAAAGCTAAACTTTTATATAAATCATTACACAAAGGAAGACTGAAAATAAAGAAGATAGTCACACCTGTTTGGACTTATGGCATTAGTAAAATGTTAGGGAATTATGAAGGGCAACTTTTTATTTCTTATTTTAATAGAATGGCACTGTATGCCTTACCAGGAATTAGATATAAATATATTTCCTCTAGTTTATCAATGAACTCTGACTATCGGTCACATTTTAATTTTTCCTTCTCCATTTTTCTTTTTCTCCTGTTTGCTTCCCTGTTGAAGGCTGAGTATGAGTTTATCAGCTCTGGTCTCTACCTAGTTGTGTTATTACACTTGTGTGAACAAAGCTTTTCTGATATGATGGGAAATACAAATGAACCAAGCACACGTGTCCGAGTAAGTAATACTGGAATGGGGAAGAGGGAGGGTGTGATACAGCAGCAAGTATTTGCCTTGGAAAAACAAGTTAAAAATAAAAGTATTGTAGATTTAATGAAAATTGCTGTCTTCCTTACTTCTGCACAAGCTTTATCTTCTCATAAAGCTATTTAGAGAAGGAAGTAATTTTCCAGCTCTTGAAAGTAATTGGAATATATTTCGGGGAAAAAAGGGACAGAATTATGAACACCAAGGGTATGTGTTTTTTAATATTTAAAGGGGGGGCCCTCAGTATTAACAGGTTAGGATCCTGAAATTGAACTCTAAAAGCCAAAAGAATATGGTAAATTGACTTCATTTGTTTGTTAGTACACTGTAAAAAATGATCAGCAAACTAATTTTTTAAGTGTCCATAATACAAACTAAAATATGGACTAGTTGCTGTTAACTGTGTACACTATTAACCATAATAAAACATTTAGACTAGCTGTATGTTAGGTATTTGTTAAGTAAACAATGCTGTTTGCCTCTGTATACTGAAGGAAACTTGTACTCTGTTGTCTAGGCCATTTTGCGTAGCAGGGCCTAGGGTCTCTACTGTATCTATTATTACAGAATCATTCTGAATATTAATATATTGAAATGTGTTCATAAATATATCTTTCAGACTAGTTTTTGTATAAATGTTCACTTTGTTGATTAAAAATTTAGTAGATTTTATGTTAAGGTGTAATGTTTTTATTTTGAAAATTATATCAAAAGGGTACAATTCAATGTATATAATACTCCTATTCACTTTTATCATGTGAATATTATAACAGTGAGTCTATTGAAAAATTATCATTGAAAGAACAGAGAATAAACTATCAGAAGCAACATTGAGAATTTAAACAAAGATCTCTTGACTTCTAAGTACTTCATAAATCATGAGCCCTTAGCTTTAGTTAACTCCATTAAATGATTTCTACAAGTGTCTTGACTCTTTTGAGAATGAATAAACCATGTAAAGCATGTCTGCAGAATTTATACCTTGAAAAAAACATTATTATTATTATTATTATAAGATTAAAGTGATTCTTAGAATTTTTTGAAGTATAAAATGTATCTAGAGCTATCAAATTTAGGCAGGCATATTTGAATTCATTTTGTCCAAAGAGCAAGGGTTTTGGGGGGCCCTCCCCCTTTATTTCATAATTTTTAAAAAGTATAAGAAAACCATGCCATTGGATGTAATTATTTTATTGTATGTTTCCAGTTCCAATAAACTGGTTTCTACCTCATTGATAATGATTATATAAAACATTTAATAATAACACCCTTAAGGTTATAATTTTTGATGTAGGGGGAGAAAGTCCCCTATTAAAAGGATTAAAATGATGTTTGATTTTTTTAAGTAAAAATGAATCTCCTATACTGATTCTTTCTTTAGATCCATTTGCAACATTTAAACTACTGTATTTCTTTCTGCATTGTTTCTAGTTTATTAACCTTGCAAGAACTCTTCAGGCACATATGGAAGATCTCGAAAGTAGGTGGAATTTCCCCTCCCCAGACTTGTTGAATTTACTTTTGCAAATTAAACCCACAGAACAAAACATAAGTATATAAACTCTTTTCTACCAAATTAGATCCTCATTTATAGGCTTATTAATACCAAAATGATTGATCTGGGAAATATGGGTTGGGCAATTGACACTAGTTTTTTAACAGAATTGAAATAAATTATTTATTTTAAGGTAAGGAAGGATGTAATTTTAACCACTAGCATTTTATTATAAATAAGTTATTTTTGATCACTTCAAATTTAGCACTTGTAATAAAATCATAAATTTACTAATCAAGGCATATCTCCTATTTTAGAATCCTGATTCTAAGTCCATAACAAAAGCCCTAAGGTTTTCTGTTCCTTGTTCAGGTCCTTGTGGACATTTTATGTAGATAACTCCAATCTCTTTTAAGACCACACACACCATTAGGCTTCTCTGAGTTTCCAGATGAAAGTACATAAACCCCAAATCTTCAAAGGCATTTAACAGCCCATCCTCTTCAAAGTCCAATTGCTTCATGCCTGGTGGGTACATCTCTATAACAGTTGCTCGAAAATCCAAGGTTACCCCTATTCAATATCTGCCTCTTCTACTTTTCCACCCAAAGCAAAAGATTCCCCATTCTAGTATGCTATTTGAAGTGTTTTTAACTATGTATTCACCATTTGGTTACCCATATACTCATCCTCAAAATTCTTGGAGTGTTACCTATAGTGTGTATAAGATTTTTGCATTTAGACAAAGCTCAGCATCCTTTGATAATAGTTCTCGTAAAAACCTTTTGATTTCTTGAATATTATCAGGATGTGGATTTTTCTAAGTTAGTTTACTAATTTTAAGTTTTAAAAGGGTTTCAGATAAAACTGAACAACACATTTTTATCATTTTAATTAGTATATGTGAAAATAAAGGAATCACTTGGAATTCATTTAGTGTAAATTTTTTTATGACTTCTTAGTTCTGATCCCTTATATTAGCCATTATACAAGTCTCTTTAGTTTTTTATTCTTTTAAAAATAATAATTTTATTATTTATAATCTGTAAGATGTGATGATAACAATGTTTTGGTATGTTTCCCCCACATTTCTAGGGGTTTTTTTTGGGGGGGGGGGTGTTTTTAATTCTTACTTAGAGAATTAGAATTAATTCTTTCTTAGAATTTTAATTTAATTCTTAGAATTTTAAAAATTCTTATTTAGAATATGGTTTCTTAAACATAGTCTTTTTTAAGTACTAATATTCTGAAAATTAATTCCAACTGAATTTTTTTCTCCTATGGAATTAATCCAGTAGAAAACACAAGTTTCCTATAAGGCTATTCTGTTTTTTTAGTTTGGCATTTCTTTATTGATACAACATAAAATTTAAACATAAAGACCATAGGGTTTTTTTCAGATATGAGTTGGGTATATGCTTGGTATCATTTATTAAAAATAGATTTTATCTATAAATGTTGCATACTTTTCCTGTGCTTTGCTTTGGGTGCCCTTAAATTGTGCAATATTAATACAAGAAAAGAGTACATTAAACTTTTCTGCCCTTGATAGTAGGATAGGTGTTAATTAGATTTTTATTTTTGCAGACTTTCATTTTACTTCACATGTTAAGCAATTTACAGAATACATAGTATTTTACTACCTTCCTAAAGACATTCCATGATGTTTTATGTTAAATCTTGATCTACTAATGACTCTTGAATAAACTGAGGTCAGAAATATTGCTAAAGTGATAAGTTTCTGACAGTTTAGAGACAGAATAATGTCAGTAGTAGTTGTTTAGTGAAGCCAAATCTTTTAACTTAGGCTGTGTCTATATAAAGCTTTTTGACTTACTAAATAAACTTTTTTCTTGGCATTGTATAGACATAGCATTGATGTAAATTTCAAGAACACCCATAACCTATTATTCTATGTACATTTTTTTCCATTCTCATCGGATGCATCAAACATGCAGCGGTAATAAGCCAGATTCTACTCAGGTGTGTGAGAGGACTTGCCTTAAATTCACTTTTTCTCTGATGTATTTATCATTAGTTACTATGAACACAAATTTATCTCAGAAACATTTTAGAAGATACTTTTGAACCACATTTTAAAGCATTTTCATTTTTATAAAAACTGTGTAACATCACAAAAAGATGTGGGGGTGGGGGCATTTCAGATAGGCATCACTCACAATCAAACCACCCTAACCCTGTCATGATAACTTATCATTTTGACCAAAACAGTGTACTAAATTGGGATTTTTATTTTACAAGTCATTGCTCTTCTGGCTTCATATTTACACTTCCCATTCTCATCCCCCTTAAAATCATTCTTGATCATCCTGTTTTCTTTCAACAGCTTCAGAGGATGATTCTGAAGAAGATGGAGACCATAACAGAACATTTGATATTGCCTAACTTCAGTTAAGACAAATGGATGATCTGTGAACAAGTGTTTATTAAAACTGGCAATTAAGTATGAATTAATTTTGTGGGGGGAATGCCTATTAAATATATTGACTATACGTAAAATGAATATATACATATACATGTATACATGTACATATATATTCATTCTCAAGTGTTGCTGAATTAAAATTCTGCTGGACCTTTTAACACTGGCCAGCAAATTCAATGTTTATAAAATTGGTAATCAAAAGACTTTTTCTTTTAGGTGAGTGGAAAAGTATTACCCTTGTTTTCAATATCTAAGCAGTGCCCATCAACCCTTTTTTGTGTTCTGAATAGTCATATTTATGAGAAAAGGTTTGTGTTTTAGTCTCTTGTTAGTGAGAAAAGTGGATCAAAATATGCTTTTAAAATAAAATGCCAAATGGCACCTAGTTTTCCTTTTAAAATGCCTTAAGTTGCAGTCATATTTTTAATAATCATTTACTTCCAGTGTTTTGAAAAAAAATTTTTTTAAGAATGGGAAAGAGGTTATGAAGAACATTATATTAGGTTTCCAAATTTAATTTGAATTCTAATTCACTTAGCAATAAAACCTAATTTTAAAAAAAAGTATAAGAGATGTAGAAATGATGGATAAATTTTTGTATTGATTTTCAAAATGCATATTATATTTGATAGGCCATAGTATGTGTAGTATTCCTTTTAGGAATATTATAGCTATAAATTATATCAGAATTGCCAGTCAAATGATATTTGGTTTAAAAAAAAAATTGTTACAATCTCAAGTTAATGGAATATTTTTAAATCCCACATTCAAAGTTTAAAACACTGGTTTTCAACGTGTTTTTTAGTGTTGTCACGTCTTTATAGATAAATATGATATAAATAACCAATTTGGATCCTGGTCATTTTTAACTGTTTCTTGGTAATTCTGAGCATTTATTTGATGATTAATATTTTTCACTACCTTTGAAATTCAAACAGATGAACATTACCTATTCAACATGAATGGTCTACAGTGTGGTCATGAGTTGTGTATACTTCCATAACATTGTGTTTTTCCTCTGTCAACAACTTTAGGATACACTTAAAACACCTTCAGGTGGTTTCAGATTAAATTCTGATGTTATGGCAACAAACTACTCTTTTAAAATCTAAATAGAAACCATGTAATTTCTCAAATGTGAAATGAACGGTTTGCCACACTTAGTTTGTTGGTCCTATGTAAAACCTTGGCTTGAAATAAAGTGCATACTGATTGATTCTGTTTTACAGTTTGAACTGTTTCCTTGTTGCTCAAAGAAGACTTAAGACCTTGTAGCCAAGAATTTTATTAAAATTTCACATCCCATTTCAATATGCTTCTAAAACATTTGCTGAATTCTTCCCTGTTATCTTTGCATTGCCTACTTAAAGCAAAAACACAAAATTGAAGGATACCAGTTTCAATATATTCTGTCAGTCCTTTGAGATGCTTTGGATTCAAAATATTATATTTAAATAGAATTTATTATGAAAATTGTCTTCTTCTTAACCCACAATATATTTTATTTTTAAAAAATGTCATTTTCTTATTGTTTTTCATTAACTGCAAAAACACGATATTGATAACAAGACAATGAGTCTTATAGTCATGTCAGCTTCTGCTGTTGTGTAAATTTAACACTATAGAGGAATAAACAGGAATAAGCATAGTCTTCGCTGGTTATCAGTTTTAAACTTTGAACAAAAGAGATCATACATCACTACAAAGAATGCAAACTCCTAAGACCTTGTAGTTTAAAGCTGTTCTCTCTATACTACTGCCAAGCATATGTTGTCAGGGCTGGGGATATTTACTTAGCATGTGGGAGGCCATGGGTTTGATTCCCCAGCACTGCAAAAAAAAGTAAAAAGTCATCATCAACCAGAAACAAGTTATTGAAGAAAGCAATTTCCACATTCTGAAAGTAATTAACAAGCCTGCTTTTTTTTTTTTTTTTTTTTTTGAGGGGTGTAATGGGGAACTTTGAACCCAAAGTGCTTTATTGACCTATATCCCCATCCCTTTTATTTTTTTGAGACGGGCTCAGTTTGTTGAGGCTTCCCTTGAACTTGTAATCCTCCTGCCTCAGCCTCCCAAGTTGCGGGAATTGCACAGGCGAGACCACTGTCCCTGGCCAGATATGTAAATATAATTAAGATTTAACATTTAATTACCAGGGACCTCTAGACTTGTTATAAAATGAAATCAAACATTGAAAATTAAATAATTTAAAACAGCCATTTGCAAGAGCTGGAGCCGCATTTAGTAGAAATTGTCAAAATGTGTACAGAAAATAGTTACATGAAAATTTAGTAGATTTTAGAGTAGCACTGTTCTGTTTGGACTTTCTGATGATGGAAGTGATGGTGGAAGTGTTCTTCAGTATATGCTAGCTAGTATGGTAGCCACTAACCACATGAGGTTTGAGTGCTTAAAATGTTTCGCTTTGGTGTTTTGTTTTTGTTTGTTTGTTTTAAGTTATAGATGGACACAATACCTTTATTTTATTTGTTTATTTTTTATGAGATGCAGGGGATCCAACCCAGTGCCTCACACATGCTAGGCAAGCATTCTACCACTGAACCACAACCCTGGCCTCTAAAATGTTTCTTAAATGTAATTGAAGGATTGAATTTAAACTGTTTATATTTAACTTAGGTAGCCTCCTGTGGGTAATGATCTACATATCAGATCTAGAGATCTGAATGATTGGTGGGGGTGGGTAATAAGATTGGTCTTAGTTTTTAAAGGAATGGTACAGTTAGGGTAGTATGAGTAGGAAGGAATTCCTGGCAGATATTCATTAATACAACTATAAATAGCCTATCAATTATGTATTAGAAATCTCAATCACTATATAAAATCTCAGTCTTCTATAGAGCAATAATATTGCACATGTAATGCAGCTAGTATGTTAACACTTGCTCTTTTAGTACTACATGTCTACACTGTTGATAATTTTATGTTAGGACTTTGTAGTTACTGGAGTCTTATTAACAATAGGGCCATTAATTGTGATGAGGGGTGTTTCTGACTTACAGTGGTTAGTGAAAACAAATGGTATAAACTGTCATTAGTGAAGCTGGAGATAGAATGGATCTCCCTTTAAGAAAATTACTGCTTCCAAATGATTGATCAGGTGAGGGTTATGGAGAGATTACTAGAGCTTTCAAGCTAATACAGGTAGTAAATACAGTTTCAAGTGAAACCGATACATTCTTCATCTTTTTTGATACTATTTTTTAAAATACTAAGGAAAACCACTCATTTCAACTTTCTTCAAACTCCCAAATGTTTATTTTCACCTTTGTCCTGAAATTTACAATAAATATACTGAAAACTTTGTGCATCTTCACTAGTTGTACATAGGTTTTTTTGTTTGTTTTTTAGTCTTGGCTTAGTTTTTGTCATTTTTCTCTAAATAGTGGGGACATGAGTGATTTTTATTTTCTTTTTATTTTTCCATAATTTCATATCATTAAAAGATAAAATTTCTAAATGTTTTGGGAGCATAATACCTTGAGTACATAAAGATAGGAGATCAGAAGAATCCTTAAATGGACACTATGATACCAGTGTTAATTGGATTGCCAGACTTCTCCATGAGTTTGTAGATGTAGCCATATTCTTCTTTAAAAATTTTTATAAAAGTTTAATCATTCATGATCAGTGCTGTTTCATCTAAATCATAAAATACAAATAGAGGAACTTTCTGCCAAAGTAGCCAGTATCGGGAATATTTAAATGTACAGGGTCTATTTAAAAAATGGATTGAGTCCCTAAATCACATTTATCAATAAATGAGCAAGACTGTTGAATTAAAAACTAAACTGGTTCAACTAAATGGAGAGGAAGATAGAGTAGGTAAGACAAGTAGACTGGATTATCAACTTCTTGGACATAAAGCTTTCTTTCATTCAAGTGAAAAGTTTCTGCTTTTGAAGAACTGGTTATAACCTATAAATTAAATTTAAGATCTTTCCTTTTGTAAAATCTACATTAATAATGAACTGGAAGATTAATTCTTGTCCCAATGAGTACATGAAAATACTATTACTGTTACGGAATAACCATAAAAGCTATGATATTCAATATCAAGTTTTAAATGAAAATCTTGCACAGGAATTGCTGTCAAGGCATTTGGTGTCAATCTGTTTTGACATTACCAAAAATTTAGTCAAATCCAACAGCACATTCATTTTCTTCTGCAACTACCAAAACACAGTCGTCATCATAATGTGATTGGTGTGTAGTTGAAAAAACTGTGGTGAAACCAGAATTGGAATTTCTTTTGTAGAGGTACCAAATGATTGCTCCCAAAACTGTCAGAATTACTGTACTAGCAATCACCAAAGTTGATATTAAAATGTGGTTATCTGAAAAAGAAGATAAAAGAATATATGGGAGATCAGGTTGCAAGTATTGCATTTTGGAGAATACAGTGTAATTTAATTATGTTAAGTATTTATTGAAATTTTCCCATACTGGTAAGAAAAAGAAATTACACATTAACTACTATCAAGATTTAAATTTCTTAGTTTGAAAAATGGCTGTACTTCAAAATTTCAATTAAATATTGCCGTTTCTTTACACTAACAATGATAAAAGTAGTCCACAATCCCCTTTGTCTTCCTTGGCTTTCTTTTCTGAACTAAGACTTTGCAAATTCGTATATACTGTTCTTTTGAGGAATAGTGGTATTTAAATCTCTGTTACATCAGTGGAGTTTTTAATGGTTTGCCTTTTGAAGATTTAAGATTTGTTTCACAGATGACGAACCATAAGCTGCAGTATCCTCCACTTTTGTTACCTTGCAAACATTCAGATACTATATATTTGTGTATTCCCTGAAGTTCTTTATGTACAACTTTGTAATTCTTGCCCATTTAGAACCCTTGTAATCTTCCTAAAAGAATTTAGCTTATCAAATTGAGGAGAATTTTTTGATTTAGTAGTTAGGAAGGAAATAGTTTTGAGAAGGTAACTATTATAGTTATAAAGGACTAAAAATGTGAGAATTTTTTTTTTTTTTAAGGTACTAATGATTGAACTCAGAGGCACTTGACCACAGAGCCACATCCCCAACTCTGTTTTGTGTTTTATTTAGAGATAGGGTCTCACTCATTGCTTAGCGCCTCACTTTTTTTTTTTTTTTTTTTTCTTCCTGAGTCTGGCTTTGAACTCAAAATCCACCTGTCTCAGCCTTCCAAGCCGCTGGGATTACAGGCATGCGCCACCTTGCTTGGCAAAATGTGAGAAATTCTCAGAATTATCATTTTTGTAGATGTTCCCTTTTTGGTGGTGGGGGATTAAACCAGGAGCACTTAACCACTGAGCCACATCCCCAGTCCTTTTATTTATTTATTTTGCCCTTTTTATTTTTTCTTTTTGAGACCAGGAGTAAATTGCTGAGGCCTCGAATTTGGAAATCTGCTTCATCCTCCTGAGTTGCTGGGTTTATAGGTGTGTCCCATCATACCTAGCTGCTGATGCATTTTTTATTAGCCATACTGATACTCATTATTTCAGCTTGTGTTTGTTAAAAATGGGACCTAACAGAAATAAGATTGGTTAGGTAAATCACTATGTGGGGTGGAGGTGGTGATGACTGAACCCCGGACATTGAGCTTGCAAGACAAGCATTCTACCAATGGAGCTATATCCCCAGCCCTGAATGTCACTACTTTTAAGTTTGGGGAGAGCCATTTGTATTTTTAAATTATTGACAAGATTCTTTAAAAACACATTGTAAATGTCCACAACTGAATTATTTTTAATCCTGAAATAAAATTAGTGGACACAATTTAGCAGTGTTTGGGGGTTAAGGGTGCTATATTATCTTTTTAACCTCTCCTTTGTGATCTTTTGTCTCCTGCCCCTTGTGTACTCTAGTTATAAGGCCCAAAGTACACAGTCTGCCTCTTAAAACTGCAGCCTTTTCTTGGACTAACTGTAGGTTTATGTATGGAGTGCCAGCTGTGTATATAACTTTTCCCAAACCCACTGAGTGAGCAGAAACCCAACCCCTCATGTTTGTTAATGTTGATCATTGATTATTCATTGGGATAAACTTAACTTTCCTGTCTAGTGCCTACTCGTCCTTCAAGATTTAACTCCTGTATCATTTCCAGAAGCCTTTGATAAACTCAGCTTGGACTAACCTTCCCTGACCTGTATACTTCCCCACACCATGTGCATCCTGATGTAACTCACATTTTTTTTTTTTTTTTAATGTTCTTTCCAGGGAGACTTAATTTGTGTGACTGGGAATTCCCTTTTTGCCTGGCCCTGTTTTGACCTATTAAGTTAGATTAAACTTAATGTGCCTATCTGTATGGAAGGCTTTTACTTTCTTTGGGTCTTCATTCTGCTTAAGTGTGGCCTTATCAGTGAGCTCTTTCCTGGACACCCTACAACAACAAAGCAAAATCTCCCTTCTCCATGTATCTGCATTCATCCTTAATTCTGCCTTTTAGTTCTACAATATATGTCACTGTGTGACATTCCAAATAGTTATATTTATCATTCCCATTAGAACGTAAGGTTGGAAGCAAATCCTTTTTCTGCTTTGTTCATTGCTGTCTTCAGTGACTAATTTCAGAAGAAAGCGTGGCACATAGTATTAAAATGTATCCACATCTTTAGGTAATGTACATTTACATATATGTATTTGTAGATATATTTCATGTGTATGTGTGTATTTCAAAGATAATACTCCCTGGAATCTGAAGACCACATGTTGCCAGGTCTCTACAACTATTCCAGACATGATTTTGAGAACCATTCGAGACCTACTTGCTCTTCTAAACATGTTTCAATTACATATTTTTTATTTTTTTCCAAAGTATATGTGTACCTAGCTACAAATTCGATTCTAGAAGGTACATAATGAAAAAAACAGCTCCTGCCCTAGTATTCAATATCCATTTCTTGAAGTTGACTACTGTTCTGCCTCGTGTTTCTAAAACAAAATGATTATACTGCTTTAATTTTTTAAAAATTTGTGAAATACATGTAATGAAAGCTACCATCTTAAGTGTACAGTTCTGTAACATTAAGTGTGGTTGTGTGCTACCATCCACCTATAGAACTGCAAAACTGAAACTACCTATTTGACCAGTTCCTACCTCACTCAGCTCTGGCAAATACCATTTTTGTTTCTGTTATGAGATTTACTCTGAGTACCTCATGTGAATGAAATAACATATTTGTCTTTTAGTGATTGGTTATATAACTGGTTATATGTAGCCGAATTTTCTCCCAGAGTCATGCTCAGCAACTTAGTGAGGCCCTGTCTCAAAAAAGGGAGGGGGTGGGGGTGTTGGGGTGTAGCTCAGTGATAAAGTACTCCTGGGTTCAATCCCCAGCACGCACACACACACACACTACACGGTCTTTCTATAGAAGAACGAGATGTAACTCCCATATGCCCACACGCTTAACAGTTTTCCCTTCTCTGTCATAGCAAGCCCTACATAGAGAATACACATAGTGTGTTTTAATACAAAGGACTCAAGGTCAATATTTTATTAGTTTCTTTTTTAGTAGGAAAAGGAACTGTTAAAGAATAGAGCAGAGATAAACAAAGAAAAGCAGGGGCTGGGGATGTGGCTGAAGCCGTAGTGCGCTGGCCTGGTCCGTGTGGGGTGCTGGGTTCGATCCTCAGCACCACATAAAAATAAAGATGTGTCCACCGAAAATTAAAAAAAAAATACTCTCGAAAAAAAAAAAGACTTAATAAGAAAGGCAATTAAATAAAACAGGCAAAACACTTGAATGAGCATTTCACAAAAGAGGACACAAAAAGGTGCTCAAGAAAATGAAAATGCAGTAAGATCATTCCACTTTGGGGAATGTACTCAAAATGGGAATGCAGGTCCCCAGAAGGACATGAGAATGTTTATAGGTGGCCGTATTCATATTAGTTGCAAGGTACAAATTCAAATATCTGAAAAGAAAGTGAGCAGATTGATATTTATAAAAGTACTATTAGGCAATTTTTAAAATATTGTATATGCTCAACAACAAATCTATTGAAAAACTCCTGAGTGAAAAAAAGCAAGAAAAAAGTGCATAAAGTGGAATATGGTAAAGTTAGTGATTAGTTACCTCTGGGATGGGTGGGTAATAATATTGACATTTTCTTTCAGTACTGGGGATTGAATCCAGGGGCATATTAACACAGAGCTACACCCCCAGCCCTTTTTAGGTTTGAGACAGGGTCTCACTAAGTTGCTGAGGCTGGCCTCAAACTTGCAATCCTCCTACCTCAGTCTCACAAATCACCAGGATTACAGGCATGTGCCACCACACCCAACTAAATGCTAGGTTTCTTAACTGGTAGTTACTAGTAATACATAAATATCAAGCTGTATGTGTAAGATTTGTGCATTTTACTCAGTTATACTTCAAAATATGAAGATTAAAAACTATCCAATTGATGAAAATTTTTCAGAACAGGTTCTCACATTGCAAAACTACACCTCCTATAGACCAGTAATAGTCAAAGTTGGATTCATTTTTTAATCCAGCAATTGCATTTCAAAGAACCTACAGATAAATCTGTATTTGTGCAAGGTTATTTATTGTAGCATTGTTTGTAATAACAAATGTCTGGGAACAACCAAGTGGAAGTTTGAAGCTGGGTCAATTAGGTATATACATACCATGGAAGTATATGTAGTTGTAAAGAAAGAAGATTGATCTATTTATAGATCAGTGTTGAGGACAATGTATGATATGTTAAGAGACTATATTACGGGTCATATGTCTCAGTTTGCTTATGTTAGCAAAAGGCACAAGAAGGTTAAAGAAGAAACTAAGTAAAATGATTCCCAATAAGGATAAAGATACGAAAGGGTGGACAGAGGCAGTGTTTGCCTTATACTTTGGATTTTTGAATCACGTATTACATGTCCCCTTTTTTAAAAGAATGTATTTAAGAGCTGGGGTTGTGGCTCAGTAGTAGAGCGCTTGTCTTGAATGAATGAGGTACTGGGTTCGATCCTCAGCACCACATAAATAAAAGTATTGTGCCCATCTACAACTTTAAAAAAAAAAGTCTTCAAAAAATTTTTAAAATAATGTTTTAGTAAGCCCTTAATATGAAAGCTCTATGAATTGCAATTACAACTAGAAGATGAATCTTTTTACCAAAATATGCAGTCATATACCACAAAAACACCTAATGCAGTTCCTTGGGAAAATACAATTTGGTGTAAAGAAATGTTCATTTCAAGTATAACTTATGGTTACCATATTTAAAATGTCAAATCTTATTACTAAGCTAAAAGGCTTTTCTACATTTTTATAAAATTATGTGTTACATAACTTTTTTAAAGGGGTCTATAGTCTATAGTGTATTTTAACATGCCAGAATTTTAATACTTTTTTAATTAAGGAAAAAAATTAAGACCAGAATATTACTTACCTGATAAATATTTCTTGTTATATGGGACTGAAATACAAAAGAAAACAAAATTTTAGTTGGTTTATATTATAAGATTGACTTAAACACTTTCACAGTGTTAAACACTATTAGTTTAATATTCCTATTTCTACTGCTTTGTGAATTGTCTGTGTATTGAATGTAGCTGTTAAAGATAGATACAGAGCCCTAACAAGGCAAGAACTTAGTTGGTGGACAAAGAATAGGGAAGAATAAAGAGGATTCTGGTTGGAGATTTTGTAGAGAAAAAATGTAAAATTAAACAGTCATGACTTTACCTTGTTAGTATGAATTTTCTATTTCTGATGTTTTGAATTTATCATTTAATTAAAAACTTGTTTTATATATCAATGCCCTGAAGGACAGTATATAAAAATAACTAATTTTTTAAAAATCAGATGTTTGAGTTCTATGAAACAATGACAAATATTTATGTAATCTCTATAAAACTAATTATACTCAAGAATCCTGCTGCAATAAGTTTTAAAAGTGCATAATTTTAGATGTTAAAAAAGGAAATAACCTACCAACCTAAGAGCCCTTCAATAGATGAAATGGATTAAAAACTGATATATATAGATAGATAGATAGATAGATAGATAGATAGATAGATACATATACACATACATACATATACATATATATATATACATATATATATATATATACACACACACACACGTGGGGGGGTAGAATGTTACTCAGCCTTAAAGAATGAAAATATGGCATTTGCTGGTAAATGGATAGAGCTGGAGAATATCATGCTAAGCAAAATAAGCCAATCCCAAAAAAATCAAAAGCCAAATGTTTTCTGATATGTGGATGTTAATTTGCGATGGAGTTGGTGGTGCTGGGGAAGAACAGAGTTACTTTAGGTAGAGGGGAGTAAAGGGATGGGGGGGTTAGAAAGGATAGGAGAATGAATCAGACATTATTACCTTCTGATCATATATAACTATATGACTGATGTGATTCACATCATGTAGAACCAGAAGAATGAGAAATTATACTCCATTATATACGATGTATCAAAGTGCATTCTACTGTAATACATAACTAATTTTTAAAAAGGAAATAACCAGAGCTAAATGTCTGGTTTAGGTTTACAGTTAAAGCAGGAGAGAATACTAAGGATGCAAAATGGGGGAAATGTCTGTGTCATATTTCAAGCATCCCAAATTCATATTTTGGCATTTTAAATTTCTTTACTGAGAAAGGATTTACTCTCCAGAATTTAAAAGCATAAACTCTTTACAAAATTTAACAAGTCACATGAAAATATCGTGGAAAGGGATAGTTTTGTTCACTAAAATTCATTTTAATAAATCAGAAGAAAATTTATTATTTTAATCTAAAATATATCATGAACTATAATGTCATTTCTGTTTGCCTAAATGAAGGATGTTACTTCTTGTAAAGAATCTAATTCTCTGTAAAGTTACATTAGAATTCTGGGATTATACAAACTTACTCTACACCACTGCTGCTCAATCAAATCATACACCAAAATCTTTTGGTAATTCTTTTGAAAAACAAGAATTTGGGGGCTGAGGTTGTGGCTCGGTGGTAGAGCACTCGCCCAGCATGTTCAAGGCCCTTGGTTTGATCCTCAGCACCACATAAAAATAAGTAAAAAAAAAATAAAGGTACTGTGTCCAACTACAACTAAAAAATACATATTGAACAAAAAAGAAACCATATTTTTGATCTCTTGGAAACTTTAAGCAGATAGAATTAAATTATGCCTGGTGTGCATGATCTGGCCCTGCCTGTGAAATGTAAGACAATTACATATTTAATTTCCAGGAGACTTAAAAACAAACTACCCTACTATATTCTGAATTCTTACTCCATTTATTTAATAAGAAAAGCTAATCTCATGGAAAAAAATGTTTGAAACCAGCCTTACTTTTCACATCCCTCTTAAAATGGAAAAAAGACATTCAGTCATACTTACTAGCTGCTTTACAAAGTGTTCCTTCCACAGAAGAAACTTCACAATTTCCTTTTTTCCATTCACCTGTCTTGGTGTGCAGAAAACCACAGGTGTCAACTAGATCCTCAGCATCTTCTTGGTCTTCCCACTTATCAAATGTCATATTTGAACTATCAAACCACTTGAAACTTGCATCTGTCAATTAAGGAACATTTTCAACATCATGACAGTTTTAAAATGTGTTAGAGCCAAGGTGGAAAGGTATGTAGTTGATTTTTGGTTTTCAATTTTTTGGATTAAAGTTAGAAGGAGGAATATATTCTCTCTGCAGCCACATCAGTAAAAGGTATTTATTGGGTTGGGGATATAACTCAGTTGGTAGAGTGCTTGCCTTGCATGCATAAGGCCCTGGGTTCAATCTCCAACACCAAAAAAAAAAAAAGTATTAAGTGGTTTCAGAAAAAGATCCCATTTTTGTAAGGAAAGATATTTTCATGGGAAAATTATTTTTAAGTTTAAATATTATTAACCTTAGTAATTTCTTTTGAAAATGCTTAAATAGGGCTGCAGTTGTGGCTCAGAGGTAGAACGCTCTCACCTAGCATGTGTGAGGCACTGGGTTAGATCCTCAGCACCACATAAAGTAAAATATAACTAAAAAATAAATTAAAAAAGAAAATGCTTAAATATGTCCCTTCTAGTTTTCTGTAGTGACAAAATACACATTTACATTATATAACATACAGATCATTTACTCTAACCTTATCCTATTAACTGCTAACACTAATAAGTTTTATGACTGTGCCATATTACAAAAATACTGAGCCTAGAAACATTTTAATCCAGACAAGAGAATCAACTTATCTCATTTGTCAAACACATCAAGCTACTTAGGGGAAAGCTATGTATGGTACAAGTCCTAGGTGCACACTGGAAATGCAATACCTGGATGCCCCAGGAAACATCAACTTGATCTATAAAACTGAAGAATCAAAATGCCCTAAGCTCTACAAACAGAAAAACAGTCACACTTACCATCTGTGTCATAAAACATGCCTAGGAGGATATCATCTGGGCCTTTCCATTGCTTTTTCAAAGTATTCAGTATAAAAGCATTTTCTTCTTCATTATGTATGCTTATCATGTCTGCTCCTGAAATTATTTTAAAGAGGGAGAGCATGCTCAAGAATCAGTGAAAATTACATGAGGTATAAAAAATTATGAGCTTTATTTGTTTCACTTTTACATCTTTTATAAGAGGGCTTTGGGGCAGGGGACAATAAATTTAACTACAGGACAACAGAAAACTATGAGGACCCAAATCAAAACATATTGTTAAAGAGGAAAATCAGAAACCAGACAACCTATAGCTCTATTATGAATATGAAATAAAATGGCAAACACCTTAATAGGGGAAAAATAGATCTCAGACTGTTAAAAAGACAATTTGCCTTCCCAAAGAAAAATGTAACACAAGAAACGTGAAAACTCATCTTGCTTCTAAAATATGAAAAAAAAAAAATAAGCAGAATTCCATATTAGCTAATTAAACATTTCTGGCTTTTATTGTAGAAAATAAGAACTAAAAGCAGTAGAGTAAAAGCATCAACTTTTTGGAGACAATTTGGTGATATAAGCCAAAAGCCTTAAAATAAGTATATTCTTTAACCAGCAATCTTTAATCAATATATGCTAAGGTAGTCATTGGCTCTTAAACATATAGGCAAAGTCACATGTTCAACAATACCCAAATTTGTTTTCACAAATCACAGGCACAATTAAATTGGAAATAATCTAGGATAGTTTCCCTAGTCCAGAAGCATAGTTACCAAAATGTTAACAATTAAGTACCTCAGAGTGGTGCAGTTTAGGGTGATTTTGATTTTGTTTTTAATTTTCATGTACATGATCATCTCTTATTTAAGTATGAAAAACTTTTAAAAGAAAAAATGAGACTGACAATTTAAAATACTTAATACTTTAGTCCACAGAATTCAGCAAGATTCTTTGAGTCAGTTCACCTTTTAAAAACTTGATAACTTTTTATCAGCTCTAGCTCCTATCACATGTCTGCTAAATGTCACATAGACTTTTAACCTGTTTTACCCTAGTACTTACTGCTAAAATGTGACCAAAACACCACTCAAGAAAAATCCTAAAGAGAAATATAGATCTCAGACTGTTAAAAAGACAATTTGCCTTCCCAAAGAAAAATGTAACACAAGAAACGTGAAAACTCATCTTGCTTCTAAAATACGAAAAAAAAAAAATAAGCAGAATTCCATATTAGCTAATTAAACATTTCTGGCTTTTATTGTAGAAAATAAGAACTAAAAGTTTAGTGGTTTAAGTATCCAGAGATGATGGTTTTTATTCTTTTCTTCGACCTTGTGGCAGCCTTTAATAAACTTTAATGATTTTTTTTTACACTATAACCTAATTAAATGTCGTATATACTTAAATTATTATGTCAGGCAAATAAGACACATTTTCATTTTCTTAAGTGGCAGAATAAATGCTGTGCTGAATGCATTACCAGTGACACTACCTACTGAGATATAATTTGGCTCTTTAATTCTTTTTTATGACTAATGATATGTAGCTCATATGACCAAAAGGAAAGAGTGAAAATATATATAATTTGTTATAAAGGTAAATGTTGTAAAATAAAATATTTTAGCTTTTCACAATTATTTTCTAAATGAGTAATATTAGAAAAGAAAGAAAATTAGCACATTGAGTAAAGTAGCACAAAGCACTGGGAATAGTATAAATGTAGCTATCTGTAGCCCAAAACGTAACAAGTGATTCATTTTCTATACTCCCAATGGTAAGTTTAAGAAATTATTTTGGGGGCTGGGGTGGGGCTGGGGCTCAGTGGCAGAGTGCTTGCCTACTATGTGTGAGGCACTGGTATTTGATCCTTAGCACCACATACAAAAATAAGCAAATACAGGCATGCTGTCCATCTACAACTACAAAAAAAAAATGATTTTGTATGACTGTGAAGACTTTCCAAATGTAAATATTTCTAGTAATAAGCTTTTTCTTCTTTATACATAGCAGAGGAAAAAACAATTCATGTTGATCTACTCTGCTGTTCTAAACAAAACACTACCATGTTAAAAATATGTGACAGTAATACTGACTAAATTTAGCTAGCTGTCTGATTCATCTATGAAATGGGTATTTCCAGAGTAGAAGAAAATGTATAGGATTATGAAAAAAACAGAAGGAATTTTAGCCATGTATGAAGAACTTTTAAAAAATCAAAGGCCTGATGCATGCTAGATTCTATCACTAAGCCACATTTAATCCCCTGAATTTATAAATGTGTAAGTAGAGAAAAAGACAGTTTTATTTAGATATAAGACATTTTATGAAAAGATCTGTATATACTATGCAATATTCCTAAATAGCTACTATAACTAGTTAATGGACTTCTAAATATAGCAATCAAAACTCAGGCTACAGAGCTGGGCATATAGTTCACTGGGAGAGTACTTGCCTAGCATGTACAAGGCCCTGGATTCAATTCCTACAACTTAAAAAAGAAAGGAAGAAACAAAAAACACACAACCCTTGGGCTAGGGATGTGGCTCAAGTGGTAGTACGCTCACCCAGCATGTGTGAGGCACTGGGTTCGATACTCAACACCACATAAAAATAAAATAAAAATTGTGACAACCTAGAACTAAAAAATATTTCTAAAAAACACACAACCCTCAGTGGTTTATTTTTGTTTGTTTGTTTTGTTTTTAATGCTTTTATTGTAGGTGGACGCAATACCTTTATTTTATTTATTTATTTTTATGTAGTGCTAAGAATTGAACCCCGTGCCTCATAACATGCTATCCGAGCATTGTACCACTGAGCCACAACCCTAGCCCATTATTCAATGTATTTAATTTAGTTTTGCTTAGTTTGCTAAAAAATTATTATGACTGGACTACATTTGAGTCATAGAGGAAGTAAATCAACACATTCACTTTGCTTCTGTATAGTCAACAGTTACTTAACTGAGACAAATGTTAATGCTGACGAACTTTGATTTTGTAGTTCATACAAGCTAATAAGGATATAGGAACATGCTTTCTTGACTCTCAGCCTCAATATAACTTGTTATTGAAATACATACTAATGTCTAAGTATAGCTAATAGAAATTGTTTTTTAAAAAGACAAAGTAGTGGGGCTGGGGATGTGGCTCAAGCGGTAGTGCGCTCGCCTGGCATGCGGCCCGGGTTCGATCCTCAGCACCACATACAAACAAAAATATTGTGTCCGCCGAAAACTAGAAAATAAATATTTTTTTAAAAAAAGACAAAGTAGTTAGAGAGGAAACTTCATTTTAAAAAATCTTGTAAGACCAGCCAAATTGCTATTATTTTATTCAGCTGCCTTGAAGTAAAATAATATTGGCACGTTGGAAATTTTGTCCTTTTTTCTAAGAGCTTATGCTGCACACCATTTGATAGGTAAGAATTTTCTAAGGGAAAATAATGTTTTAACTATGTGAATTAAAAACTGTTTGTTTTCATTCATTATATAATAAATGAATATGATTTTAATTAAAGTATCTTTAATACAATTTGATAGGCCTCCAAAATGTTATATTAGTGAGTTGTTAGAAATTGGTTTTTTAGGGGGAGGACACTTCTAAATGCTGGAGTTGTGATTATGCCTAAGAAAACACATAAATAGTAGAGAGTAGATTTTATACAGTAATAAAAACTATCTTTAGTAAGACCCAAGGACTCTCAAGTCACAAGCTATATTTTAGTTGAAAAAGATGCTTTCTTACAGCATAGCTTTAGTTTGAGCTAATGACTGCCAAAATCCAAAAACATGAATTGCCTCCACTCCAAGCACACCTTTAAAAACTAGGGCTGGGAGGGCTGAGATGTCACTCAGTGGCAAAGCATCTGCAAAGCCCTGGATTCGATCCCCAGTTCCCAGGTGGGGGGAAAAGTTGGGACTGGGGTGGTAGCTCAGTGGTAGAGTGCTTGCCTAGCACATGTGAGGCTCTGAGTTCGATCCTCAATACCACATAAAAATCAATAAATTAAATAAAGGTATTGTGTCCATCTACAACCAAAAAAAAAAAAAAAAAAAACAGGGCTGAGGATATAGTCAAAAGTAGAGTGTATGGTTTGCATATGCATGGTCCTCGATTCAGTCCTCAGCACCATGAAAAAAGAAAAATATTTTGCCTGGTACAGTAATATGTACCTGTAGTCCCTGCTACTGGAGAGGTTGACTAAAGAATCTCAAGTTCAAAGCCAGCCTGGACAACATAGCAAGATCCTGACTCAAAAAACAAAAGCATTTTTTAAAGTCTGAAATATATCACAATGTGAAATTGAGTGTATTTTTTTAAATTTTTAAAAATAATTGTAAATGGACATAATACCTTTATTTTTATGTGGTGCTCAGGATGGAACCACAACTCTAGCCCTAATTGAATATATATTCTAACTGAAAAACAGCCCTTTTATCTTAACTCTTCTTTACCACAGACTTACTTTGTGAGCTTATGTAATCTGACTTTTGCCCACACTGCATGCCTGCAACAGTAGTTTTGAAATAGAATAAAAAAGTGATGAAGAATTTTAAGCCTAAATCCCAACAGACCTTGATGATAATTTTAACTCATTTACAAATTATGAAAATGAAATTCAGGGAAGACAATTTGCCAACGTATTGTGTGTCAATTGGGGCTGGGGATGTGGCTCAAGTGGTAGCGTGCTCGCCTGGCATGCGTGCGGCCTGGGTTCGATCCTCAGCACCACATACAAACAATGATGTTGTGTCTGCCAAAAACTGAAAAATAAATATTAAAAAAAATTCTCTCTCTCTCTCTCTCTCTCTCTCTCTCTCTCTCTCTCTCTCTTTAAAAAGCAAAAACAAAAAACATTAACTTTGCTTCAGGAATCCTGTTTTTACAATAAGTTGATGCTGTCTTTGAATTGTAGGTTAAACCTATGTATTTAGATAAATTGATGCTATTTCCTTTTTTAAAAAATTTTTAGTTGTAGATAGACACAATGCCTTCATTTTATATATTTATTTATTTTTATGTGGTGCTGAGGACCGAACCCAGTGCCTCACATGTGCTAGGCAAGTGCTCTGCCACTGAGCCACAACCCCAGCCCAATTGATGCTATTTCTACCTGGAGGCTAGCTCTTGCCATATATCATATATCATCATCCCCCTTCAGATACTTTTGCTCTATTACTCTTGCATTTTCAGCAAGAGATGTTATTTGTACTAGTTTTCCCCTATTCCTTTCTTCCTGTGTTTTCTTAAACCCACTTCACTCAGTATTTTGTTTCAAACACTCCATAGAGATTTCTACAATCCAAATTCTAATGACATTCACATGATTGTATCCAGTGGCCACTTCCTCATTCCCATCCTACTTAATTATCAGCCACGTTTGACACAGCTGCTTATCTTCTTTTTGAATCACTTTATTCTCTTGGCTTTCAGAGGAATCTACTAGTCCTCTTAAAGCCTGGCTTTAAAGGTCCAGGATACCACACGAGCTGCATTTAATTGGTTAAAGCAAGTCAAAAAGACCAACCTAAATTCAAAGGGAGGGCAAATAGATTGCTCATACTATATGGGCGAAGGGGGAGAAAAGGAGTTATTGACAGCCATCTTTGAAGACAATAGCGAAGACAGATCCTGGGTAGGGAAGGCAATCCTCTGTGAGAGGGAGCACCAGCAATGTCCAAGTCCATGCCTGTGTGGCCTTAAACAAATAACTAAACTTAATAAAAGAAAGATAATAAACTGCTTGATAGGTTTGTTGTGATAATTAAAGCCAAGTGAAATATGAAGTGCTGAAGTACAATGCGTGGCTCAAGGTACACACATTGCATAGACTCTGACGTTGCTAAGATTCTGTCACTATTACGGACAGTATCATCCAAGTATTGTCTTCTAAATCAAGGATTACATTAAATTCTACTACCTGTGGCTTGCATGTTGTAGAAGAAGAATTGGACATTAATTCTAAGAACCCAGAGAAAAGTATGATAACATCACTTTTGAAAAGTATTAGTGAATGCTGCTAATTTGTGAGAGGGGGGGAAAAAAGCCACTTACCATGGTCAGTACACTGATTTCTGACATCCTCTATACTCTCAACTTTGATGGCTTCTTCAAGAAAAATGTAACAGCTGTCTTTGAACTGAACCCAGGCAGATGAAGGGCAGTCTATGAAAAAAAAAAAAAAAGAAAAATGCTGTTAAATAATAAGATTTAACATGAATTCCTGAAGATAAGAATATTAGATATTTAATTTTCACACACACAAAGGCAATTTCCCTTGTTAAATATTTGTTAAAATTTGTTTCTCTTCATTATACATGTGGGGATAGAGAAGTGTGTCACTGATTCTCTTCTGACTTGACAGAGCAAATTTACAAGTCTTAAGATTGTTTAGCAATTCAGACATGTAAATTGCAGCATTATTACCAAGGCAACAAAGTCTCAAGGAAGACAACCAGTTAGAATTACAGGATTCTCTTTAAAGGTTATCTTTGCAATGTGTAATCACAATTTCAAAAGTCTTAAGAGCTTTACAAAATCCCTTTGTTCAAATTATACCTCTAAGAACAGAGAACAAGTGGCAGGATTATGAATATTCAGACATTTAGTATTGCACAGGAAAACAAGATCAACATCATTATGAATGTTCTTAATTTAATACTTCATCAAATCACATTCTTTGCTAGTTCTAGGAAACAGTCATATCTTTTTGCTATTCCTGTAGGGTGGAAGAACATCTTCAACTATCTCTACCTTGGTCTCTTTTTGTTCACCATGATGATGTATATCTTTATGCCCAGGTTATAGAATGTCACTAGTTAGCATTGTAAGTAAAAGTAAGCCTGAAAGAGCTTAATTTCACTAAAACTGGAAGAAGGAATGGAATTCCTTAATTCTAGTGAATAAATGAGCACAAAGCACTATATTTCTATATTCTCTCCAGTTTATTTAAAATCACAAAGATTTTTTCCTATATAGTTTTATTTTCAAGTTCTGTGCATACTATGATTTTTTTTAATATAAAAGAGTGGAAACAAGCCTTATTACAGAGATCAGAACTTACCAGACACCTTAGCCTAAATTCAACACTTGATTTTACTGAGCTCAGAATATTCCAGAGGCCATTGGTTGTTCCCAATATTTGATCTCAGTTTCTTACAGCCCAGAGAACATACGACCAAGATAGATTATTTCCCAGTCTTCTAGTAACTTCTGGATAATAAGCAATCACAAGTGAAATGTTCAACACACAGGTCCTCCCTTCAAAGGCAAGAGTGTGCTCCTCATATCACATTTATTTCCCCACTTGCTAAATTGTATTAGCCACCTTTAATTATGTGACCAAAGGAAACACCCTAGGAAAACAAAGCAACAAGATGGTTGGGTTGTAGGTGAAGCTGTCATATCACACTCTATTGTAATGAGAGAGAAGTAAGCCATTGTTAATTTAGGTCACTCACGTATCAATTGGACAAATAACCTAAAAGGATGGACTACTTAAAATTATCCCAAAAATAAATAAATATATTCAAATTCAAAAGATGTGAACTTTTGCTGGCTGCATGATATCTTATTTAAAAGTTAAACCACCCAAGATGTACTAGGATGAGGATAAGTGTCCCAAGACACCGTTTATTTATTTATTTTTATGCAGATGGTGTTCCTTCCTGCTGTTTTATAAGCACTTCCATTATACATGTATCGACCTTGGCTTGAAATCTGGCAAGAATCTAAAACGCTCTCCCTATGGTGGCTTAAAGACAATTGGAGAGGACATTTTGGCAACAAGACCTTTTCTTTGAGAGAATTCTCATAATGAAACATTAGGAAAAAAAGCTGGCTATAAAATTAAATGTACAGTATTATCCTAAGATACAAAGAAGAAAACCCAGAAATATTTAGGACATACCAGACACTATTGTAGGAGGTAGGTTCAGAGGGCCTGAATCCAAGGCATTTGGTTAAAAAACTGTTATGGAGCAGCTAGACCCTTCAATCCCTTTTCTGAGTAAGAGCACTTGGCCATCTCAGGTCTACTATACACATTTTGCCTCTTCCTCTGAAAGCCTGGGCTTTACTCAGGTGAGAAACTTTTATTTCTTTAAATCTCCTCCCAGGCCATCAAATATTATTCTCAGTTCATCTTCAGAGGTACAGGTCATCTGTCTATACCACCTTTCCCAAGACATCATCACTGGAATTTATTTCAACTTTCCCTTGCAATTTCACCACACAGTTCTTTCTCTCTTAAGCCACCATCTTATGGCAGCATAGGGTATCAGAAAGAACAAAACCTTGAATTCAGGACAGAGGAGTTTTTATCTTGGTGGTTGTACCTTGGATAGCTTATCTTTTTTTCTGTATTTCCTTAGGAAGGTAAGGGATAAATATCTACTTCATTGGATTGTTATAGTGAACATTAGCTAAGGTGCTGCAAAATTGCACAGCACAATGTATAATACAGGGAAAGTGGTCAAAATATGTAGCTTTGGGGGGCCTGGGGTTGTAGCTCAGTGGTAGAGCACTTGCTTAGCATGTGTGAGGCACTAGGCTCAATCCTCAGCACCACATATAAATAAATAAATAAATAAACAAATAAAGGTATTGTGTGCATCTATAAAAAAAATTTTTATTTTAGTTTTGGCAACCATAATCATTCATCCAGTTTTATAACTGGTATCTTTCTCTCCTAGAATATGACTACACTGAAAACACAAAGTCTTAATTAATTTTTGGATCCCTAACACCTCAAATAGCTGTTGGACTATAACAGGGACTTTAAATACTTACTGATTAATGAATCCTCGTCTTCACCTCTATGGCTTATCATCTCTTGATCATCTTCAACTTGATTCACTGTGACATGAAACGTACTATATTCTAAAATATAACATATTCTAAAATATAACTGAACTGACCTTGCTGTCAATTCTCAATACTTTATTGATGTACTTTTTTTAATATTTATTTTTTTAGGTATAGATGGACAGAACACAATGCCTTTATTTTTATGTGGTGCTGAGGATCGAACCCGGGTCCCACCCATGCTAGACGAGCACTCTACTGCTGAGCCACAATCCCAGCCCCCAATATCGCTGTACTTTTTATTGAAATGCAACATGCATACAACACACAAACCATAAATACACAGCTTCATGAATTTTCATAAAACATACCCATACAATCATCAGCAAAATTAATCAATACATTAACCCTTCCAAAAGTAATCAACCTAACTTCTAATACCATAGATTAGTTTTGCTGGTTTTAGAATTTTATAGTAATGAAATTATACATGTTGGTACACTTTTGTGTCTGGCTTCTTCTGATAGACATTACTTTTTTATTAAATTTTTTATTTATTCTAATTTGTTATACATGATGACAGAATGCAATTCATTTCATATTACACATATAGAGCACAATTTTTCAAGTCACTGATTGTACACAAAGTATTTTCACACCATTCATGTCTTCATGCATGTACTTAGGACAATCATATCTAACTCATTCTACCGTCATTCCTATCCCTTTGCCCCCTTTCTTTCCCTCCCTTCTCTTTGCTCTATCTAAAGTTCCTCCATTCCTCCCATGCTCCCCCCATCCCCATTATGAGTCAGCATTGATAGACATTACTTTTACAAGATTTATTTATGCTGTAGTGTGTACATCAATCATTGTATCATTTCTACTATATCACTGTATGAATTTATTCTTTTGTTGATGAATATTTAGACAGTTTCTAGTTTATGGTTATTACAAGTAATGACCTTATGAGCATTCTATGCATGCTTTCTCATGAGTGTATTTCTGGAGTAAATTGTTGGGTACTATAGTTTGATCGTCCTTTCCAAAACTCAGGTCAAAATTTAACTGACATTATGATAGTATTAAAGGGTGAGACTTATAAGAGGTGACTAGGTCATGATGGCTGTGTCCTTATGAATGGATTAGTGCTGCAAGAGTGGGTTATCAAGTGAGTAGTTTCCTCATAAAAGAGTAAGTTTGCCATCCAGTCCCCCACTCTTGTATTTTTGCCTTCTGTTATGGGATGACACCACAAGAAACCCTCACAGATGCCAGCATCTTGATCTTGGACTTCTCAGTCTTCAGAACTGTGAGAAAATACATTTTTGTTTTTTATGAATTACTCCATCTGTGGTATTCCATTATACCAGTACAACAGACACATCAAGTATGCATGTGTCCAGCTTTGGCAGATACTGCCAAATGCTTTTCCAAATGTAACTGCCATTCCTATAAGAGTAAGTCATATTTTAAAAATCCAGTTTGATAATCCTTATCTTTTAATTGAAGGATTTCCATTCATATTTTATAAGTTGCTGATGAATCTGAATGTCTATATACCATCTATTTGGTATATTTTTATAAACAAATGTTTATAAAATGTCTCCTTTTTTCTTCTTTTTTTTTCCTGTCTTCTTTTTGGATTATTAAATATTTTTACATATTTTTTCCATTTCTTATTAAATATATATTCTTTGATTTTCTTCTGTAGTGAATAACTTGAAAATTACAATGTACAACTTTGACCTTTTAGCACCTAAAATAAATTAAGACTTTTACCACTTGCTGGACAATGCTAGGATCACACAATATTTTAATTTCTATGACCTCCCTTCCTTTGTGTTACTGTTTTATTACTGTTTTGCATGGTCAGTGTTCCTTTAGCTTTATTTGCTCTCTCTGTTACTCTTTGTGCCTTCTTGCATCTCTTCATTACTGAGTGGGATAATTTTCCATTCATTTGAAGAAATCTCTTTGGTGTTTCTTTCTTCTTTTTTTGGGGGGGGGAACTCCCTCAATTCATGAAATTCTATAAATGTCTTTATACTGCCTTCATGCTTAAAGGTTATTTTTGCAAATATAGAATTTTAGAAATAGCAGCTGATCTTTTATTTAAGATGTAGTTTTGTTGTTTTGGGCTTTTATCATTTCTATTGAGCAGTCAACTATCAATGTCATTGTTGCTGTTTGGCCAATAATGTCCCCTTCCTCATTGTTCTTCCCAACTCACCCCTGCTGCTTTCAAGATTTTATTTGTTTTTGGATTTTAGCAGTTTTATACTGATATGCCTACTTCTTAATGTTTTAATCCTACAAAGAATTCAATGCATTTCTTGACTCTGTGGCTTATTTTCATT